TTCCAAACACAAGAAGATATGATACGTGAGCATTTGGCCAAATTGATTCTGCTGTTTATTCAATAATAAAAAGAATCACATTATTATTATTCGAAAATTGAATTCCGTGTAAATGTTACCTTTTTTTTTGTTTGTTTGTTGGTGGTTCATTCAAGTTCATTTGCACAATCGATGAATGTGGAATGGAATATGGATGCCCACACGCATACATCATATATTGCCGAAAGACAGAAAAACTTTTGGAGAATAACTAAAACAGAAACTGTTAGAGAAAGCCTTTTATGTTTTGACATGAGAAACCGCCCTTCAATGACCGACCGACCATGTTCGGTAATGACCATCATCATCATCATCAACAATAACGGTATCGACATAGCCAATATCATCATCATCATAACCATTAGAAGGGCAGAATCATTATTCCAAAACAATGGTTGTTGTTGAATCCATTATTAGGATGCCATAATCATCATTTCTCTATTGTATATGACCTCCATCATCATCAACAACAACAACAACAAAACAAAAAACTCAAACTCAAACTCAAATCGGATGTGAATACAACCATTTCCATCCGAGATAAGAACAAAACAAAAAAATGTTCATGTACCAAAAATGACCACCGCCAACGCTTAATGATTCTAATTAGTTTGTTCGAGTATAAGACGACGATTATGATGATGAGTAAATGATGAGTAAATCACGAGTAAATCAAGTGAAAAAAGAAATAGAAAAAGTCAAAATCATTAAAAAATCACAATGTTTTGGTTTTCCGCTCAAAAAACAAAAAAAAACGGCTATTTCGACTTTGTTAGTTAGATTAGGTTTAGGTTGAAGACATTCGATTCTCGAATGTTATGATGAAAAAAAGATTTTTTCCATCAAAAACCAAAAAATCATCGAATGATATTTATTCTTCTTGAAAACCAATCAATTTGTATAGCGATCGAGATCGATCGGTTATGTAAATATAATGACAGTGATCAAATCAGACAATGATTATGGTCACGCAATTTTCAATTCCTTGATTTTCTTCACAATCGTTTTTTTTTCTTCGTTTTTTACTGACACGTGTCACACAATATGCTATCTCACATATCTTGTTATTCTTTCATGTGATGAATGGATCCATTGTTGTTTTTTGATGATTATTTTGATTCTATAACGATCACTATATAGTTATCATGAATAATGATCATAAATTTTGTTTTAATGAGTACGGTACTGTACTCTGTGCTATGTATCATCCATTATATACAATCATCATCATCATCATGGAACACATTAATTGATCTTAACCAATGTACAACTGACTGACTGGCTGACTGGACAAAACTAAAGTAAAACAAGAACAAGAACCTTATCCAAACAGAAAAAAAGAAAGAAAAAGGGCGTCTGCAGAAGCTTTTGTAAGTCCAGGAAACCAAATTAGCTTTTGTTTTCTTTCTTTTTTTCATTATTTTCATTTTCGATACCCGGTACGGCCCATTGGACATTGATACAACAACAACATGATTTTCATATGTTTCGTTTACCCTCAACAATTCTTCAGATTCTATGGCAACATAATAATGAATCAACAATGATGATAATAATGACAATGTGAACAGCCATTGAGTGAGAGAGAAAACAGCGTAATTTTTGAAATGATAAAAGTTGATGAAAATAAATGACTCTCTCTGGATGGTTCTTCTTATTCTCTCTCACAGTCTCTTTTTGGTTGACTTGCAACACCTTGCAACATCATTGGCCATATCAGGAATGGTCCATAATATCATGAATGTTCAAGTGAAAACAGCAAGTATATATTTAATTGACACTCCAAAATGATGGCATTACACACTATTATGCATCACACCATTATACCATTATACGCAATATGAGTAATGTGACAGGAAACAGATGCCCATTATCATCGTAATAAAGAAAAAAAACTGGATCGGTTTAAGTTGAATCAGAATTCTGAATTCTGGCTATTGGAGAATCCCAATGATGATTTTTCCAAATAAACAAGAAAACAAAGTATTAAAATGAAAATCAATGAGTCAATCATCACCCTTATCATCATCATCATCATGGTTCATTGATATTTTCTTTCTCTTTCTGTGTTCACTGATTTTTGCCCATTTCATTAGATTGTGTGGATATGATTTCGATTCGATTCGGTTCGTTTTTTGTTGTTGTTGTTGTTGTTGGTGATTATATTTGTGATTTGATTTGATTTGGTTTGATGAGCTTCGATTTGAAAATGATTGAATGAATGAATATATAGAGAATATATACTTTTTTCCCCAAATATTAGGCGCCTAAATCGAGTGTTTGATTGTATTGATTGTTGTTGTTAGCTGGTTAGCAATCATCATTATATTTAGCATCACTTCTGCCTATGTTTGGTTCGATTTAGAAAGGTAATTACATGGGATAGGATTGGCTGTAATGTAAAAAAAAAACGAAAAAACAGGATTCAAAGGTCAAATGATTGACTGACTGGTCATCATCATCATCATCTAATCCAATTATTAATCACCAGTTATTCCGATTACACACACACCGAACCCATCTTTATTCATCAAAATCAAAATTCATTCATTCACCAATAATCCCCACTATTAACCGATTAAGCTTCGAAAATATCAAACCAATTTTTTTCTTTCTGCCTGGCCATGTCTGCGACTGAATAAATGAATATCCGTTTCACCCTGAAAATGATGAAAAAACGATCAATTTGTCAAAGGGGATTTCAATTTAATTGAATTCCATTTAAGGCCAGATTAGATTTTTTTTTATTATTTTGGATTTTGGCTACCAGAAAAAAAAATACTTCAATTTCTTCCACTTATAAATAGTCGATTTGCATAGAATTGTCATCAAGTCAAAAAAAAAATCAAGATTGTTGATGTGATAAATCATCGAATATATTACCCTGTTTTCTTTCTTTCTTTCTTTCCTTTTTCAGTAAGCATCCAATTCAATTCAAAAGTAATTTCCACCCAAAATGATCCATTAGTGAAAATTGGATTGAAATGAATCTCGACAATTGAAAAGAATCACACTACTCAAAATGAAAATGAAAAAATTCAATTGACTATGACATTTGCCAATGTTGCCAATGTTTTTTTGGATCCAAATCGAACTGCTACCGCGTAAGAGAAACAGAAGTTATTGTAAGGCGGCGGTCCCACTTGTATAAACTAAAAAAACTAGTTTGCCGGATCATGCTTGCTTGATATGTTAAACTCGAAAGTTTGTCAAATCGCAAACTTTTCCCGTTTTCTACTTCCACAGTGCATTTTTCGGTTTAGTCTGTTTGTTAGTTTATACAAGTGGGACCGCCGCCTAATTGTTTTTCCTTCTTTGCTATAATCATCATCATTTCCAAAAACGAAAAACAACAACAACACTTGGCCAAATACAAAAGGTCATTATACCAACAGATTGGACCCAATGATAATGATAACGATGCCAGTGGAACAAACAACAACAACGACTATGCTTCAATGACTTTTTGCAACAGCCAACCGACCAGATAACCAAAAAAAACAAGGCAAAGGCAATAGTTTAATTATATTCAAAAACTCGAATGGGTCATAAAAACTATTTCACACACACACACCGAATTTACCTTGAAAAAAAACCTGACAACAGAAAATAATTCGTGAGACAGATCGTGATATGGTGGCCATTCAATGAAGACCCAGTAGCCAACTAGTTTTTAGTTTATTTTATTGTCGCATTCGATTCATGATTTACAGATAAAGAAATTGTAAATCAATCAATAATCTATTTTAACATCACGTTCAAAATAGTAAGAAAATGGCAATTAGAGTTTGTATAGTGTTTTTTTGTTGCTGGACAACAACAATTCAGTTGTTGTTGTTGTTGTTGTTGCCATTAATAATTCAAGATACAACAACAACAACAACAAGAAAAGAAAAAACAAGTGTAGCCATTGTCCATTGCTGTTTACTATTATCATCATCATCATCATCGAACATGATTGGCCAACTTGTTCGATCACCATCCTCATCATCAACGTATACACACCGGTCTTTGGTCTCGAATGATGTTTTGGTAACCAGTTTTCTTTTCAAATTTAAAAATTCATCGGGTTATCTCTCTATGCGTGTATGTATAATAAGGAATCACTGGCCTGTCATCAGCCATGATTGCTGTTGTTCAATCAATGGGATCTTTTTTTTTCTTTTCATTCTTTCCAGTATCTATCTCGTTGTTTGATCCGATTCTATCCATTAACATTTTCTATCTATCAAACCTATTGATTATTATTATGATGAGATTGATAGGCAAAAAAGCATCCTCATCATGATTTCCAAGAGTTTTTTTTCTCGCAATTTCAAATGTTCAACAACAAAAACATGCAAATATCCAGATACCGTGATTATCTCTGGCCAAGCACATTCAAAACACACACACATGCTTTTTCTCAGTGACATGTAATGATTGTGTTTGTGTATTCAATACAAACACACAAACACACAAATCATTCATTCATTCATTCAAATATAGTTAACAAGATTGACCAAGTCTGAATGATTATAGCTAATCATAACCGTAATAACATTCTCATTATTTATCTATTTTCTGTTTACGAAAAAAAAATCGATTGATTGCCAATTTTCGGTTATTCATTCATGTAAATTGGTTTGTTTGTTTGGTTTGATTTGTTCGAACATTTCGTCGATGGTTGAAATATAATGAGCTTGTCAATCGAATCGACATGATTTGTTTTCTGTCTGTCTGTTTGTTATCTGTTTCACAAATCGATAATGAGAAAAAAAGAAAAGATGACCAAGTCGATTAGATGCCAATTCAACAAAACTGATCAATCTGTGGTCAAAATAGCCAACAAGGAAAAAAAACCAGAAGAACCTAGATAGTTGATGAGTTTGTGTGATTCATCCCGGACACCAATTTTCATTGATTTTTTTTGTTTTGTGTTTATCAAATAATCGGATTCATCGGATATATCGATTACTTACTGTTTGTATTTGAAAACAAAAAAAAAAATTATCGACTTTACACAAAAAAAAAAAAATTCGGGATTATTTTGTTGTTGTTGTTGTTTCTGACCAGGAAAAAACCCCCGAATCTATAACGATGAGTTAAGCATAAAAATGTTTGTCAGTTTGGGCTATTTAGTTTGTGTTGTATAATTGGGGATTTGTTCACCAGAAAAAAAACCACGGTTATTAAATGTCAGAACACATAGACAAGGAGAACACAAACACACAAAAACAAATGAATGTCACACACACAATCGAATCATTCGAAAAAAAAGATTCGATTTAAGAAGAATGTAATAGATGTGAGCCCAAAATCACTGTCACATTTAATGATTCCGAAAGAAGAAAAGAAAAACAAAACATCCAACCGAGATTTACTTTTTAACCGACAAACGACAAACACATAGCCGATTATTATTACACTTTTTTGGATAGATTTGCAAATGAATATTTAGAATTCTATTTTGATGACCGATCCACAAACAAACAAACTAACAAACATTCAGAAAAAACTTAAACGGACACAGAAACCAAAAAAAAAGATCAACGAAATAAGAAAAACGTGACCATCACTGAACGAATACATTGAATCGACTGATGGAAAATGGATGGAAATTTTTTTTGTTTGTTTGAAAGAAAAAAAAAGGCAAAGCAGGTGGATAGCGAGAAAGAAGAAGAAGAAGACGACGATAAACAAGAACAACAACACATCGTCGTCGTCGTCGTCGTCGGGGTTAAAAAAGAAAGAATGATACAACAGCCAGTGAGAGCAAGAGAACATCTTTGGTCTAAAATTCGTAAAAAAAAATATTTTGGATAACAAACGACGATCTGCGCTTGTCTGTTTCGAACATAATATTTCGAATGGTACTTTTTTCTTTGGTTTGGTTTGCCTTGTTTTTCTGTCTGACTTTTCAAAGTTTTTTTTTTTTTGGTATTTTGATGGGAAATTGAAATGGCGCGCGCAATGATGATGATCATGATGTTGATGATGATCAAGATGATGATTGTCTTGAGTGAATTTTCTCAGCCATCAAAATAATTAGCGGCCAAAATTATTTCTCATGCAATTACAATGATGTTGTTGTTGTTGATGTTTGATGTTTGGTAAATATTACAATGAATATGATTTCATTGATTAGTGTTGATTGAGGCGAAAAAAAACCAAGAAGAAATTCATCATCATCATCATTACCATCATTTCATCCAACAAAGATAATCCCATCGTTTTGGTCAATTCTTCAATTAACCATTGTTTGTTTGTTTGTGTGAGTGTCTGTGTGTTGTTATTCACCTAAAATATCATCATCATCGTCATGAAATTCAATGATAATAATGGCTTCAGTCAAAATGAGAACACCGTCCATATACAGAATTGTCTCACAGACAACAACAACTGAAAAATAAACCGAAAATAAACAACAACAACAACAACAACAATCATGTATGATAGAGGGACCAAGGTCGAATGTTTGACCTCGACGACGACCACCGTCATCTTCATCTTTTGACTGAAACTTTAATTAAGGCCATATTTTCGATTTTTTGGTTTGGGCTGGTCAACAATTGAAATGATGATAATAATAATAATGATGAAAATGATGATTATCAACCTTGACCAAACCTTGTAGTCATATCATTTTCAACACAATTTGGTCATCTTGGAATTTTGTTTCGTTTTTTTCTGTTGTTGATGACCTCCCTGCATCAGTTCAGTTGAATTCACCGACCATATGGATAATAATAATAATTGAAATCAGTGAAAAAAACTCAAAACAATCAAAATGGTCGGCAATCATTTTCTACTAAAAAAAATCGATTGAACAAATGGATTATTACCCATTACCATTTTTTCGACCGGAATCCCGGTAATTCAACTGTATATCGGATGTATAATTTCCCCTCGCACAAGCTTATAAATGGTCTTAGTATTTGAATCTGAAAAAAAAGAAACTTAAACGATGCAGCAAACAATCTGTAACTTACTCTCAATCACTCCCTAAGGCTTATTTAGATTCCCGTTGTTGTTGTTGTTATTGTGAGCTCGTCCAATTCAATTTCCAATATTGGAATGATTTTCATGAATGGCTATGGCGCCAAAAACGAAAAATTCTGTTTGTCAGCAATTTCCTTTAAGGTTTTTTTTCTCATTCCTGTCGCTACATTAATCATTTGGATATTTTCTTTTTTTTTTAGTGTAAAAAGCAGGAAGGAAAACAATTTCCATTCAAGTATACCCCCCTCCTCTTCTCTATCCATCCAAAATTTAAATCTTTGCTTTGATTTCCATGGAAACAAAAAAGATTTAAATCAAAATTTTTTTTTCTCGATGTGATCGTGACATTGAAACATCATACCTGACCACCATCAATTAACAATAGCTAAAAAAATACAATGTGAAAAATGTTTGTAACCAAAGGGCATCAATTGATAATGAAAAAACGAAAAAAAAATAATGATGATGATCCATGATCGTGAGACCGATTTCGAAAACAACGAAAACATCAACAACAACAACAATCGACCATGGTTAATTGAATCGGAATACTATTGAGCCTCTATTCAATTCAAGATGGTCACACAAACACACACACCGCTCTCTTATTGCTACTGATGGTTGTTTTGGTTTTGTTTTGTTTGTTTCTTTTTGGTGTGAAATGTAGTTGATGTTTTGGTTCGTTCAAAAAAAAAATCAAAATAATAATAATAATAAAACAGGCTTGTCATGTGAAAAGATCATTCGAAGAAAAATAAAATAAAAAATGCCATCACACAACAGGCAATCTTTGCTCAAATTCATATTCATTCCTGAGCTCAATTCAGACCTTCCGTTTCGTTACGCTCGGCTTTTTTTTGTTGGTTGCTTGGTTTGGTTGGTTGATCGCATCAACAAGAAGCCAAAAAAATGAGAAGATTTTTTTATAAAAAACATTTTCACCATTTGTCGTCTATAAATTTTGATAGCTTTTACTTTTTTCATTTTCATTTTATTACATTTTATTATTATGTCGATCTCATAACTTTTTTTTTCACCCAGAAAAAAAACACTCAAATACCAAACCAAAGTTGAATCCCCATCTACTGTATGACTAGATTAGATGTTTTGATTCGTGCCACACACACACACATATACAGTCCGAATGCAAATCAGCCTTGTATGCATGAATATTCACGAACCTCGACCCTTCTTATGATAATAATGAAATGATACTCTGAAATGACTGAATGACATTCTATTTCAACGCATGCTTCACACTTCTGTTAATTCTGCAGAATTGAACTTTATGAATTTGTTTGTTTGTTTGTTTGTTTCCAAAAGCAAAAAAAAAAGCTTATGTCAACAGAATCTAAATTCAATTGGAATTTTTTTCAGGAGAGGGGGGTTGTTTTAGGAATCCAATTGACAACAAAAAAAACACAATGTTACTTCTGTTTGATATTTGGGCAGAATGCTTCAGGCACTATTTGTCACAACAACTACATATAGACATCATTCATTCATTTGCAATAATCGATACTTTTATCGAATCCTGTTGATTGATTGGATATATTGTCCACATCAGACAACTTTCAAAACAAAAAATAATAATTGCCCAGGAAGTGATTGTTTTTTTTTGTTGTTGTTGTATATATGGGCGCCATATAAACTAATCTTTTTCGTTCTCGTTTCAACAGACAACAAACAACAAAAAATCGATGTAAAATTAATTGATCCAATCATAGAAATTCATTTAATACGAAAACGTCGTGGGTCGAAGTTTTAATGGAGATTTATATACGAACATTCGATTTCCTTTATTTCCCTTTATTTTTTTCATTTCTTTCTTTCAAAGTTTGCCACTGTTCCCCTGTTTTGATGATCATCAATTATTTTCACACCGAATACAGTGAAAAAAATACACGCACATGACATGCACGTTTAGATTTTAACTTTATAAATCCTCCCGTCTCTTTTCTCAATGGCTATCCATTAACCGAAGAGAATAAAGAAAAAAGACACGCACACAATGTGCCTCTTTATCACTAAATAATGATTCACAACAAACTCTGATCATCTGATTAAATTCTGTTCTGTTTTTTAAATCCGGAAATTCTATCCGGATTCAAACGCCATCTTTTATTCAGAATCATAATTGTTTGCATTGTGTGAATTGTATGAATTGTCAACTTGTGACGTGTAAAAATTAATCATTAATGACATCATATGATATTTTCATCAAGCATGGATCCAAGTCGTCCATTAGATAATGTTAATCCAAAAATATATGTAAAACGTCAAGATCGACCAATTAAAAAATATGATTATGATGATAGTGTTATCGATGAAATTGATTCAAGAGAAATATTCGATCTAATACGTGGTATTAAAGATCCTGAACATCCATTAACATTGGAAGAGCTGAATGTTGTCGATGAAGAACATGTCATTGTGGATACTAAAACTAAAGTTATCGAAGTAGTTTTCACACCCACTATCGAACATTGTTCTTTGGCTAGTCTAATAGGATTGTGTATTCAGGTTAAACTTTTACGGTCGATACCTGCAACATACAAAGTAATGGTCAAAATTGCTCCTGGATCACATTCAACCGAAGAAATTGTCAACAAACAATTATCCGACAAAGAACGAGTAGCCGCTGCGCTTGAAAACAATAAACTTTTAGAAGTGATCAATCAATGTCTTATAGATTCATTATAAACAAAACAAAAAAAAAAGTTTATTAAACAATTTTTGTATTAATATTTTTGTGTAATTTGTTCAGTGTGCCCTATTACCTGGCTGGCCCAATATGGACATTTTGAAAAATGACCGTACTGCACTAGATCGTACAATTCGTTTATGATCACCTAATGTTGATCGTAAACTTTGAACATATTGTGTACGTAAACCGACCAAATATTTTTCACCAAACAAATCGATCATGGTGGCAATGTTATTCAATGCTGTTCTACGAACATGCAACGAAGGCGATTTCTTTGCTAAATCAATGATTAATCCGAATACAGTCAATAATTGTGACTCGATCCAATCCGGATGATCGGTAAGAATGTGTTTCGATAGAAAATTGAGGCAAAGCAAATTAATCGTTGGTGAATCGGCAATTCGCAAACCTTTGACAATGTATGGAACATATTTATCAGTTGGCAAAGGCATATATTTTAGATGTGACAAAACAATATAAAGTACGGTTTCATCATTGGTTTTTTCATAATGATTACAAAAAATTTCATGTAGTTCCGTGGAGAATTGATCGCTTCCAACCATAGTGTCGTTGATGTATCTAGATTGCCAGTAATCATTTTGTGAATAGAGGATATCGGCTAATCCTCTTATAGCGGTACGAGTTGAACTGGTCGCTTGATTGAGCGAATTGAGTATTTTTTCAACATAACGTTGCAAGTGTTCATTTTTTTCCATTCGAAATAAACTCTTTGATATCCATATTATTGAATGTAGATTTGATATAAATTTTTGTTCACTCTGGTTCTGTGATGATTCAAACATTTCCAAATGTTTTGCAAGTAAATCGGAAAGCAAATTTGAATCTGCCAATTTGGCTACGATTTCAGCTAGACACATACTAATCAGTTGAATAATCTCTTCATTGTAAACAGTCAGATCGTATGAAACAATCTGATCGAATAATTTGATCAAATAATTTTCGTCCAAAGATTTGTTATCGCAAGTTTTGAGGCAGGAATATACCAAATGTAGCAAAAATTCAACCTGAGTAGCGTTCGAAATATTCACGTTTATGGACTGTATTCGATCGGGTTCATACAATTGACAAAAATCTTTCGTATAAAAAGCTGTCCATACTTTGTCGGTGACTTGTTGCCATATATCTTTCAATGAACAATTTGATAAAAAATAGTGGAAAAGTAGAGCAAATTGTCTTATCACATCGTTTGTGCAAGATAAAGTATTTGATTCAATGAAATAAGTTCGAATCAAAAGCCTTAAGAATCGAGATATGCAAACTTTGTAAAAATCATCAATCGATGATAAATCTTGTTGAGTGGATAAACGGCTAAAACATATCCGAAAAGTATCGATCATATTAGTGATATAAACGAGATGATCAGCACTATTCAGCGTAAGAAGAACCAAACGATCCATAAGAAAGTTGACAATTGACATAATAGTGGATGATGATTGGCACGAACTTCGTAATGTATTCAACAGGAAAAGCATTTGTTTTTCATCAGCCAATGTTGAGCACTCTAGAATTGTCAATCTAAATGTAAATTTTAAGAGCAATACGAATTTTTACTTACCAATTTCTTGCATAATATTACCAACATATAGTTCGTAGATTAGTTCTACATATTTTTGAGCAAGATTTTCTACCAATAACAAAAATGAATTCCTATGGATCGAAATGTGTGTGTGTGTGTAAAAAAAAGATTATGACGACAATGAATCAACTTACTGTAACTCAGAATCGTATCCAGATTGTCGAACACAATTTATTGAAAAATTGATAATCAACAGGAGATGATCTTTTTCAAACTGAGAAAGACTCAGGTATTCATTTAGAATGCGTATAATCAATTTCCGTAATTCGTTCGATTTGTTTTGACTATTCTCAATCAACAATTGCATTCGATCACAGGCTTCTTTGGTGGGAATATTCATTCCAATACGATGACCATGTTCCATCATTAATAAAAAAGAACTAAGACTGTGTTGCTGGCCATTTGGATTGGTGGTGAATATGAAGCTTTTTATAGATATTGGTGCTACTTGTTCAAAGTATTCCGTAAAGATAGGAATGTGATTACCTGAGAAGGAAATCAATATGCGTGCTGATGAGCAGGCAAGCTGCAATTCGGGTGTTTTGAAAGATATCTCAAGATCTGCCCATATTTTGCTCATCAATGTTTTCTGACATTCGGAATCTTGTGCAATCACATCGGCCAATTTGGACAATGTAGCCAATGCATTTTTCGCCAATTCGTCGTCCTGAATTTCCGGTTTAAGCGTATCGATTCGAATAGATATCCAAAGTTCAGCCATATGTTTCGCTACATCATGACCTGTATAGATGGGCAAAGCCATTTGTAACAGTCGATAGGATGACAACTTCGATTCAATAGATTCGGATTCCAATTTTTCAAGGGCCAATGGCATCACATACTGGCAGCACTTTTGGTTGGCTGTCATTGCTTCGTTTAAAAGATGACTCAATTTGACTTTGGTTTCCAGATATTTATCCTTTTTGTGTTTGTTGTATATAATCGGGAAATAGCAAGCCATCGAATCGAATATATCCTCCAAGAACATCTCTGCATATCAGAGAAAATAAAAATTATCACAATAAAAAGGGACAAGTTTTTTTTTACCGAAACTTGAAACAGCGGCAATCTGACCAAACATTGGAAATATAATCATTAAACATGTTGGACTGGTTTCTGTGTCAACAATATGTAAAAAACCGTATACGAAATTGGCTCCCAAACCAATAAAATCGTCTTGGAAACGTTGCCATAAGTAAGTGATCAACTCGTAAATCACTGATTTACATTCAGGTTTCAGCATTTGAATCGGTAAATCATTTTGAATGGCAAAAAATATTGAAGAAGCCATTTGGAAAGTAAAATGTTGAAAATGACACTATACACACAAACCATAAACTTAGATCAATAAGACAATTTCAATTCAAGCTTACCAGAGCATCTAATCCGGTGATTGATCGTTCGATCACGTAACTCTTATCGCTAAACCTTGCTATGAAGTATTCGATCAGACAGCTGACTAAAAAAACGTATCACATCATTACTTCCATTTGTTAGTTCCAGTTAAACATACCTTGATTTTGACTACAAATTTTCGGATCAACCGATTTCAAAATCATTGATAAAGTGTTCATTCCATGAGCACGTTTTTCAGCATCTTTACTGATCAAAAGATCCCTGATTGATGTTATTGATTATTAAAAATGAATAAATAAATGATGATGCATACTTGAATGGAGTTATCATTGCAGTAATCTCACTTTGTCCATTATTGATATCTGTCAATATAATCATGAACATTTGATTATGATTTATTACAGAAGTGATTTTAAATTACCTGCGACTATTTTATCAATGTCCGATTCGTTATCGTTGACCTGTACATCTGGGCATTCCATTATCAGACCTAATTGGTTAAATAAAAGTTACAAATTAACATTGGTTTCGTAAAAAAAAATCAAATGAATCACATGTGCGAGAATCAGTGCCGCCATCTTTGGGCTACAGATTCCAAAAAAAAACGAAAACAAAATCGAAAATCAATTTAAAGACATCAATGATGATAATTAGAATTTTAATCATACAAAATATCAGTAAATCAAATTAATTATTATAACTATAGAATTATGAAAACAATTAATGGATACAGGATCATTTGTCGAGAAGAGCCTGCATATAACTACGAGAAATGCGATTTTTGCCCAATGGAACATAAACTAGGTTATGACGCTTTTGATATGGTTCATAAGGATCATCGACAAAATAAGTTGGTTTTTTGTAACGAGCCGAAACCATTTGTTCAAGAACTTTATTTTGTTCATCAGTACAGAATACGTGCTGTTTAGCCCACCAACGAAGATAGTAAGGTTTTCGCCAAAGATGTTTATGACGGCCAGCACGTGGTCGTATCCAGGCACCCCAATTCAATCGATAAAAACGTCGTAACACTGCTTTATTCGAACGGAATTTTCCTTGACTATGAGTGAAATAGATTACATTTCTTTGTTGCTGTAAATTGACCGGATTACGATTCAGTATCGATGCGACCAAGTTGGTACAAAGTTGAATTGGACCTATATTCAAACGAATAAGAATTGATTTTGAAAAACTCATCATTTTTTTGATTATAATGAACTTACTGGTTAATCTTTTTATCAAAGATGAAGCCATTTTTGATGATAAACAATGATGATGGATTGATGGTAACAATCGTGATCATATGATCAATGCATGTGATAACTATTTGAACAATGGTTTCTATTCAGTGTGGAAATGGTGTGAAGAAACGTCTCATAAATGAACTTGTGCACAATATAAAATGCGCCTCTTTTTTTTGATGGTTGTCAGACGATTGAAAGTCATTCAATATTTGCCATCGTTTTATCGTTTGTAATTATTAATTTTTATTATCAATTGATCATGTCACGTTTTAGTTGTGTGGAAAGTGCACCACCGGTTGCCATATTTGCATTGTCCAAAGCATATCGTGAAGATCCACATCCGAAAAAAGTCGATCTTGGCATTGGAGGTAGGCTTCGTATTGTTCGCCTAATCTTATTCATATCCTTTATTCATCTAAGATTAGTCGTGGTTGTAATACTTTAGGTTCATCATTATCCAAAGATTCATAATGACACAAGTTCAATTAATGGGGCTTTCTTTTATCTATAGCTTACCGGACGAACGAAGCAAAACCCTGGGTATTGCCGGTCGTGCGGAAAGCAGAAGATGCTATTTTCAAGGACGAAAACTTAAACCATGAATACCTAGGTCAATTGGGAATGGAATCGTTTACTCAGCTCGCAACTAAGATGTTGTTGGGCGAAGACAGTCCAGCATTAAAAGAACAACGAGCATTCGGTGTTCAATCGCTTTCCGGTACTGGAGCGTTACGAATCGGATCAGAATTTCTGAAAAAATGCGCTGGCTTCCAGACAGTGTATGTGTCGAAACCTTCATGGCGTATGTTATATTCTAAGTTTGTGTTAAGTCACTATCTTAAAAAACTTGATTTACAGCAAATCATCATTTGGTGCTAAAAAATGCCGGTTTTACTGATGTCCGTACATATCGCTACTGGGATGGAAAAAATCGTTCTCTTGATTTTGACGGCATGTTAGAGGATCTGATTCTGGCACCTGAAGATTCAGTAGTTATATTACATGTTTGCGCTCATAATCCAACCGGTGTAGATCCGACTGTAGAACAATGGAATGAAATAGCCAACGTGATTGAAAAGAAACGTTTGTTTACTTTTTTCGATTGTGCTTATCAAGGATTTGCATCTGGTGATCTAGTTAAGGATAGCTATTCAGTCCGGTATTTTGTCTCTCGAGGATTCGAATTTCTTTGTGCTCAATCGTTTGCCAAAAATTTTGGTCTTTACTGTCAACGTATCGGCAATTTGACATTCGTTGCAAAAAACGCTGATGTATTGACTAACGTTAAAGCCCAGATGGCTCTAATTGTTCGCGGTAATTATTCAAATCCACCGGCACATGGTGCTCGAATCGTATCACATGTATTAGGCGATAGTCAACTAAATCAAGAATGGCATGATTGTATCAAATTAATGTCCGGTCGAATCATTCAAATGCGTAAAGCATTACGCGACAAACTTGAAGAATTGAAAACACCCGGCGATTGGTCGCACATTACCTCACAAATTGGAATGTTCACTTACACTGGTTTAACACCGAACCAGGTTCGACACCTTATTGATGACTATCATATCTACCTTCCTAATGATGGTCGTATTAGTATTTGTGGTCTGAATACGAATAATGTAGAATATGTAGCTCAGGCTTTTAATGATGTGGTCATTAAATATCCAGAAAATAATTAATATTCAATTGATCGCTGTAGTGTGTTTTGCATGCATATTGATTATATTTTATTTTATTCGAATCAATGTTTTTTTCCAAATACTTAATTAAATAAAATTGATTAGTTTTGTCATTGAAAATCATAGTAACACCTTGGTTACAACATAGCTAAACATTTATTAAAAGGCTAATTATCATCAAAATTATTTTTATTAAAAAAACACGAGCGACATCTATCGGTTTTATCATTTGTTCCAATCGTTTGGTTTTTTTTTGCTCACACATCATCATTGCTTGATGTGGTTCATTTCGAAGGCATCATCAAATCATCTATAGATTTGTCCATCAACCATATTGCCTTATTTTCTATTTATGTTTGTTTAGTTCATCGTGATCACTTTTATATTTTTCTGTAATTTCGTGGCCATCCGTCACACAGTTTATCCGTTAGATTCGAACCAATTAGTAGGACAACAGTGAAATTATCTTGTACGAATCGCACAATGAATGTTATGTGGAAAGTTCGAGACCTTTACGACAAGGCGTAAGTTGAACCGAAAATTCCATATGATTGTCCAATAATCATCATTCGTCTACTTTTTTTTCAAACAGAACAAACATCATCATGAACTACACTGAAGTCGAGGTAAGTTTATATTCTTTTTTCTCGCCGCAAAACTACAACTGACGATTTCTAGGCCAAAGTACGTGAAGCAACAAATGATGAAGCATGGGGTCCGACTGGTCGTCAAATGCAAGAAATTGCTCAACATACTTTTACATATGAATATTATCCAGAAGTGATGAATATGCTTTGGAAACGAATGATACAAGAAAATATGTATAATTGGCGACGAACATATAAATCATTGCAATTGCTCAACTATTTGGTTATTAATGGATCCGAACGTGTTGTTACTTCAGCTCGTGAACATATCTATGATCTTCGACGTCTTGAAAACTATACGTTTATTGATGAATTGGGCAAAGATCAAGGTATCAATGTTCGACAACGAGCTAAATTGATCATTGAACTTATACAGGATGATGAAAAAATTCGCCAAGAAAGAAAAAAAGCCAAACAGTATAAGGATAAATTTGTAGGCGTTTCAAATCAATCTTCCTACTCGGACAGGTTTGTTATTTTCAATTAATTTTTTCGCTTTAATTTATTCGTGTTGTAGCAGAGATCGAGACTCTTGGTCGGATTCACCAAGAAAAAGTGATGGACCATATGACGGGGGATTTAAAGACGAAATCGAACAGCAACCCAAACGTTATGACGATGCCCAAAATGACAGCGATCATAGTCGACCATCATCCCCGCCAAAAGCAAAAGCAGCTATTCCCGTCGAAAACAAAAATAACAACAACCAACAGCCAGCCAAGCAACGAACTACTCGTAACATCAAAAAAATAGATTTAGGAGCTGCAGCTTTGTATGCCCAAGAACACGCCAATAACAAACCAGCCGAATCTAATTCGACTGCTAATGCCGATCTATTTTCGGTTTCTCCAACCAGCGATAGCCAAACGAAAACGGCCGATCTTTTGGGTGATCTATTTGGTGGTCTTACGGTAGCCGGTCCGACTTCATTTGAACAAGCAAAAGATGAAGAGTTTGCCGATTTTTCACAGTTCGTCGGTCCCTCAATCCCCAATAGCGAACCAAATTTAAGTGGCAATAAACAATTATCAAATAACAACACTGATGATTTTGCAGATTTCCAAAGTGCTTTTGATTCACCAACGCCGCTCAACGTCAACGTGCAACCTGTTCCAACTTCAAATGTAGTAGACTTGTTGGGCGCAACAAGTTCAAGCAACCCCAGTGAATCTGCCTCTTTTGCAGCTATGAATCCGTTTTTAGTTGCACCGATAGAACCTCCGAAGTCTCCATTCAATACATTGTCTTTGTTGACACCCGTTACAGCTAACAATCATTCAAATTCGACAGTACAACAGACAGCTAACAAGTCCGAAGATTCTTCATGTTCATCGTCTTCACTTAAAATAGGCTCGTTATACATTTAACCATTTTTCTTTGATTATGATTATAATGAATCTATTTCATTTACAGGTGAAACATGGAGTGGGCTCAATACAAGCATAAATTTTGACAATATTCTTGACTTGAAGAATTCCAAACCGGCAGCTCCTACCATCAATCAATTGGCTCAGGCAAACAATCAACAAAGGCTAAAGGGCACCAATGTTCAATCGCCTTCGGGACAATTTTTGCCCAGTTTTGGCTTCAACAATTCTTTAAGTAAGAAATCAGCAGATTAAATATCTTTTCACTGATCATTTTCTATACAAACAAATTACAGGTCCGACAACCAGTTCAGCACCGATGTCACCTGTGACAGACAATCATAAGACCGATTGGTCTGGTCAGAATAGTCTGATCTAGTATCACCCTTGTTGATAATCGTTATATTATTGTCGTTGTTGTCACATTACCCCACCCAAAAAAAACATTCCATTATCATTCTCGATAACCAGTTTTCGAGACGAAACGCTCTATTTTGTGATAACTGAATCGAGACCAGAGAGACACACGAACAAATCAAACCAAGAAGCCTATAGAAGAATCGTATCCATATCCAAATAATTTGTTTGTTTTTTTGGAGAATTTTGCATATTTAATATATACAAACACAAAGTTTATACTAATCTTATGATTTTAATAGGTGCAACTTATCATTATTATTATTATTATTATTATTTAACCATTGTTTTGATCCATGGATTTTTTTTTTATAAATGATGATACACCTACACAAACAGATATATGATAATAAGAATAAAACAATCAATCGCAATGAATCAATCAATACAATTATGGTTGTTGCATTAATTTAATCTTTTCTTCAGCATCACGTTGAATATTTTCCACTTGTAATAATGCAATGGATTTGAGTGGCAAAAGTTTCGGTTTACATAGCACAAAATAAGGCCGTTCTTCGATTATGACAATATGTTGACTAGGAATAATCGGTTTGATTTCCGTTTGTGATACACTTCCAGTCGATAACGATGAAGTTGCTGAAGATGGTTGATTATCACCAGACATGATGATAATTTGGATTTTTTTAATGCTGGATTAAATTAAAATGTATGTAACATTTGATGAGCAATTTCATATCAATGGTTATGTTGGTTGTCATGACGACAATTCAGAAAAGAAACAGAGTTTGCGTTTCAAAAATGGATTTATTCACATGAAAAAAGAAACATGACTGAGAACAGACAAAAATAAACAAAAAAATGATTAATACCATTGGAATTAATTTATTTTTTGACATCGAACAAATTTTTCGAAACGAAAATTAGCACATCTAAGTGCAATCAATGATGTAATAAATAATAGTAGATATTCCATAGAAATAGATACCATATATAGCTGAGAAGGATTCAAAAATGTCTACGTCAAAACAAAAAATTGAACGTTTTGGGTTAGAGACGTTAAATAATAAAAACAAATTGATTAGAATGCTTACGATGTAGGAGGCAGCTAGATGCGAAATGAATACGAATATGATGAGAGATTTATTTCCACTATCACAGGATTTGAAAAGAATGATTGTCCAACAAATGTGCAACAATATGAATGCCAATGTAGTCAACGAAGCACATAGGAAAAAATAATTTGATCCACCATTAAGACCTACAGTTCCTGGGCCGGTCGCATCAGCAAGAATATTGATTATAGAAAATGCGCCACTCATTACACCAAAACCAATACCCGAAACTATGAAAACAATCATTAATCATTAATAAATAAATAATACTTCAATTCTCCAATACGAACCGAAAGATAATTGCATTCGATTAGTGTCCAGTTTAGGTTGAATGTCATTTGATACGGTTTGACCAACTTCGGCAACTTTCTTCAAACCTGATTCAGCTTTTCTATTTTCACATGAAAAAAGGTAATAAAAATTACAAAAAGATAATCATTACAGTGTAATGATGTTACCTTAAAACCCTATAGAATAGATAGCGAAATGTCTCTTGGAAAAATATGGAAAAAGTGACACCAAATATTAAGTATTCTTTGAGTGGCACTACTATAGTCCACAGTATGGATGATAATAACAATGAAACTAACCAAAAGAAACATCTGTTGACATACATTAATTAATCAGTTCGAGATAAATTATTTTTTCAGTTTTAAATTACTTACGCTGAGATCATGATAATAATACGAATAGGATCTTTGGCTATGACAAAACAAAACAAAGCCAATGCAGGTCCAAAAGAAATCATACAATAGCCAAGAAATTCCAGGTAGCCCATGATTGTTGGATTGATCAAAGATGGTTACAAATTGGCACCTGATTACAATCAATTAACCGATTTCGAGCCAAAATATTAACAAATAAAAATCATATGGACAAAAATAATCCAATCTGTCGCGATGTTAACGCCTGATCGGTCCGTCGTCCATTCATAAAAAACGAGACCATTTAAAAATTGATTTTAGTTTTTTTAATTTATAAATTGAATTTCAAAAAGGCAAATCATGAACAATAACAATACTATAAAATGGACCGACCAAAATAAAAATTTCAAATTAAAATTGAAAAAGTAACGAATCATCCGATCGCGATAATTTCAATTGAAACAAACAAACAAACAAAAAAATGTGTTTGGTTTTTAATTCGGAGAAAAAAAAAGCAAACATGATACGACATCTGGTGGCTAATTTATGGAATGTAAAATTGATTAAAATCCAATGCAAATTATGATGTTTACCTTGCTAAAAGTACCTTTTTCTTCTTCGTTCGTTGTTGTCCTTTTATCTTTCAAATCAACTGTTGTTGATGATAATGATATTCAATATTATAATATTGGCTAATCAATAAATAAATAAATAAATTTTGCCACTTTCTAAACAACAGCAAAAAAAAGGAGAAAGTTAAATAAATATCAAAAATAGCAAATGAAAACATTGCTTCAAGCTTACTGTTTTTTTTCATTTGTTGGATGTATAAAAATAGCATAGATATGCGTTCCAATTGGAACGATCCTGTGTCTGTGTCTGAATACATTTTTTTGTTGTTGTTGTTGTTTCAGAAAGTTTTTATTGAAAAAATATTTATGAAAAAAAAACAAGATAAATTTTTTTTTCTCCAGATTTTGTCAAATCGATGTCATAATATATTTTTTGTTATGACAAAAAATGAATGAATTCAATTAATTGATTTTTTTTTTTGCAATCAAATCTGAATTTTTTTTTCATCACTCTATCTCTTATCTTGCTATTTTTGGATGTTCTTGAAATTTGCTGATTAAGAAAAAAAAACGAATGATATTTTTTCCACGTGTTAAATGTTACATATACGTTTTTGTTGTTGTTGTTGTTGTTTTAATTCGATAATAATTCACAATTGATACGACTACGATTTAACCCGTGAATGGTAGAAGAGAACGAACGAAACAAAAAATGGATGAAATGAACAACAACAACAACAAAGAAGGCGGATATGACCATGGTCGATGATAATGATGATGGTTATCATTATCAACTGATGATGATGATAATGGTAAGAAATTTCATTATTTTTTTCTCGTTTGTTGTTGTCGTTTTTTGTTGTTGTAGTGGTCAACTATTATTAATATCATCATTCTTTTTCTAGATTTCTTATGAACTACGAAAAAAAAATCGAAAGATATCTTTTGACCATCAAAATAATAAGAAAAAAAAACAACAACGAAAAAAATGTCGTCGACATCGTAGTGATTTTTTTTTTGTTTCAAGGAAAAAAAATTTGAAACGATTTCTTTACGATTTTCTTCTTTCTTTCTTTGATTATTATCATCATCATTATTTGTTCGGTTGTCATCATAATTATGGACATCGGCGAATCTTTCTTGTTTCTTTTTTTTGCCATATTTGAATATAATATTTCAATCGTTCAATCGTTTGAATCAATCAATCCATATTGATTTCCAGCGACATTAATATGTTTTTTTTCCTATAGTAAAAAGTACAAAGTTATGAATCATCATCAATGATGGTCAAAAAATCATCATCATCAATTGTCAATCATGAAATGATGATAATAATAATAATAATGATGATGATGAAAAAATTTTAAATTAAAAAAAAAGAAAAATTTCAATTTGAAATACACGAAAACAAACAAGACAATAACATTTTGTGTAAACATAATTAACTACGATGAAAACAAAAAACAAAAACAAAAAACAAAACAAGAAAATTGAAAAAAAAAATTTACCTCGATAAAATCTTTTATCATTCGAATTCGAATTCGAATGATTTTCATTTAATAATCTCATATATGAATGAGCCAAAATCATTATTATCTATCTGTAGATGTCGAAATGATTCGAATGTATACACACAAGAAATGATTCCATTGTTATTTTCATCATCATCATCATTATGATCAAGATGTTTCACAATCTCGATCATCATCTTTGTCTTCGTCTTCGTCGTTTCTCTATTTTTAAATCGTGTGTGTTCACCTTCCTTCCTTTCTTCAAAATTTCTTGACTGAATGTGAACAACAACAAAAAAAAACACGCAAACTTAAACGCGTAAAAATTGAATGAAATTAAAAATATCACATCAACAACAACAACAATGATTTTTTTTATTGACTCTATCCATTTTTCTCTTTTTTTTTGTTTGTTCGTTGAAATTTTTTCTTCGTCTCTTCATTCAATACACAACATTGATCGCAATAATCCTATTCGAATTTGATATCACTAATAAATAAATTGAAAGTATCGTTGTAAATCTTGTATCTTATTATGTTTGAATGTCGTCTTCAAGACCAAGCGACTTTTTTCTTTAGTTACTGTGTTGTTTCAATGTTCCAGCAAGTTCTTGCAACATTCTCTCACTCTCACACGCATACACACCTGCACAAAATGGGCAACATTCTTGTTTAATTATTTCGTTTTTTTTGTGTCCATCAATAATCATCATCGTATCGTTTTAATTTTTGGAAAAATTTGTTTTTTGTTTCTAGACATCCATTAACATATATTATTATCTTTGTCATTGTAATTTGACCATCGTTAAGAGGAAACAGTTTCGATTCTGATATTAATTCATTTCAATATGATTGTAAATTGGTGACAAATTTTTTTCGGATTATTCGAATGATGAAAATTCATAAATTCGAATTCGATCATCAATCGAATGATTTTGGAATGATGTGCGCTTGCTATCGATACTATCGACCTTCATGATTCGAATTTTTTCCTTCTTCTTCAAATCATCTACCTCTAAAAGTAAGAACCAAAAAAATTGATTAAAAAACAAAATTTAATTATTGATTCTATTTATATCGGACATTGATCGCAAAAAAAAATTTTAGATGAATTCAAAATATTTAACGAAACAAACAACATTACATATTCAAATCAATAACGTCCAATAGAAATGAATATCATTGAAAATATCGATAATCTTGTTGATAAACAACAACAGCCAACATTGTATGATTGTAAACAATCCAAATTAAAATTATTATCTTGTGCTATATTTATCATTCAACTAACAAAATCACATCGATTACAACAATTTCAACAACGAAAAAAACAGCAAAATTTTATGTTTATCATCATATCACCATTTTCAATGATACGCAGATTTATGAAACAATTACATCAAACATTGACCAATTTTGCCAATATGCCATTCTAATGAAATATATTTTTTGTTTTTTGTTTCGATGAATTCAGTGATCATTTTGAGAATTAATAATTAGTCGAAATTTTCAAAATTATTCTTCTTGATACCTGTGATGTTGTTTGTGAATCTTAACAGGTAAGTATTATTGTAATCATTTTTCTGGTTTTTAAACCACTACATTTTTTTATAAAGGAAAATCTTTTTTACAAGAATTAATAACTATTAATAATTGCAATGAAAAAAAAGTAATAAACAACAACAACAACAACAACAAATTTATAATCCAGAACAACAAAATCAAAATTAACATTAACAAATAATCAATGTTTCAATGACATTACTTGTTATCGACGAATCGGCACGTACACCATTATCGTATGTTAATTAATTCAAGGATATTTTGCGTTCAAAAAACATTTGAATGTTTTTTTTTTGTAAATCGTATGAAATCATTTCGATTGAATCAGGATATGAAAAAAAATGTATCATTGGTATATTTATCAATTTAAAAAATTGGATGATGAAATCGAAAAAAAACAAAACAAAACAATGTTAATGACATATTGTATTTAATAAATTGATGATGAAACTAAATTAACAGGAATGAATATTGAAAAAAATTTTCCAGTTAAAAATTAGAAATCAAACAAAAAAAATCAGAAAAATTTGTTGTTTTTTTTCAAACAAAGTTTAGATAAGCAATGATGATTGGGAAAATCAAAATTTATTGAGCAATCAAAAATTCATGATAAATGAATAATGCGATAATCATGAAAAATGTCTTTTTTTTCTGTCACATGAATTTTTTGTTGTTTGAATATTATTTCACTTTTTTCTCAGATTTAATGTTTGTTTTTTTCCTTGTCCACAGAATTGATGATGATGATGATGTTCCTAAAGTAACAAGGAAAAAAAACTTGAAAATCCAATTCCAAACATTCAAAAAATATTACGTTTGAAAAAAAATGCATTAAAATTTAACGATCATCATCATCATCATAATTTGATCAAAACATTAATATTTTCATTGCCACTGGTTTTTTTCAGATTGATCAATTGATTGATTGATTGATTATCTTTAATTCAATATTTAATGAAAATATATGAGAAACAAAAAAAATTGTTTAATGATGATAAAGGATTGAAAAAGAAAGAGAAACCAGAAAAAAATGCCAAAGGTGTGTGTGTGTGTTTGTCTTTGTCTAATTTAATGATCATTGATTTTTTTTCCTCTAAATATTATCATTTTTTTCCCAATCACAATCAATTTCCCGTAATTATCATCGTTTATATTTGGATAATTATTGATTGAAATAATTTGATGATGATTATTATTATTATTGTTATTAAATGTTGAATAAAAGAATAGATTATCGCGAATGATCGATCATGATTGGAAAAAAAAAGTTTCATGATGATGATTTTCAAAGTATTTCATGCGTTCCATGTTTTTTTTCAATTTAAATGATAATCTTTTTTGGTTGTTGGATTTTTCTACCAATCTATCAATCGACGGTTACATTCGAAAAATAATCGTCATTCAAATTATCTTCCCATCAAATCATTCATTCATTTATTGCAAAAAATTACATTCTTAATCCTATGATGAATGTTATGTGTTGGGAGAAAAAAAACAAAACAACATTTTTTAGGTGCAAACAAATTTTTATGATTTTCTCACATTAATCACAACAACAACAAGTTCATTCAATTCTTTAATCAAAAATGTACTGGAAATAGATTCAACAACAAACAAAAAAAACTTGATATTGTTTTGGATTTAAAAGAAAAGTACATACCCATTTTGAATATCGTCATCATCATCACGATGATGATGACGATAATAATTGGAACCAATTGTTATTTATTTTGGAACATTTGTGGTAGTGGTAATGGTAGGTAGTGATGTTAAATGATGACCTTGAAGAGTGGTAGAAAAAAAAGCAAAGCCAGATTTATCTATTATTAAAGCAATAATATTTATTGCACTCATCATATAAAGGTGTGTGGCGTTTGTTTTTGTTTGTTATTCATTCATGAAAACAACCAAGCAAACAGAATTCAAGTCGAAGAAGAGAGAAAACAAGAAAAATTTCCTGAAACATTTCATTCAATCAATGAAAAAAGAAAAACAAAACAAAATTTGTTTTTGAAATCATAAAATAAATGATTCATCCAGAATTAATCAGCAAATCTTTCTTTAATGACGATAATCAGTTATTATAAAAAAAATCCCTGATCATCATGTAATCATCAAATTACGACCATAATCAATAAGAATATACCCACCATTTAAAAAAATGTTTTTTTTTTTGATTTTTAATCTGTGAAAAAAAATGTAATTAAGTCTTCAATCAAAAAAGCAAAAATCAATCGATGTGAAGAAAAAAAAACGGGACATGTGATACGATCAATCGTTTGCTAAAACATTAGCATCGTTTGCTTATCTTCAAATTTTTTTTTGCATCATCTTTGCGTCAACCAAAAAAAAAACATAATAATAATGATAATGATGAAAACTACGTAATGATTTTTATTGCATTACAAAATACTATTTGATATGTATCTTTATGTGTATGTGGTATGTGTGTGTCTGTATATGTTTAATTGCTTATTGTGACGCCCAATTCAATAGAAAACGAATGAATATCGATACTTTTGAGTCATCATCATCATTCGTTCATTTTCGAAGTGAAATTTCAGGCTTTTTTTAATTCTTTTTTAGCTAATAAAAGTGAAACCAAACACACACACACACACACACACACAACACCTACACATCCTTTACATGCACGCAAACAACCAGTTTGAATTTTCAGTTTTTTTCCAATGAAATGAACGAGATAATCTTGTATTTTTTTTCAAAAAGGCTTTTGATTACTACCCCATAAATATTGAAAAAAAATTCATATATAAATCCAAGGATCTTTCTTCAGAAAATTTTAAAATTATATAATTAATTTTTGTTAATGTTTGAAAAAATTTTATAATATCTTCATATTTGAATTTTAAAATATTTATTATATTTGTTCAATTTTTTTGTTTTTAAAAGAATTTCTAATTACTGAATCCTGATAATTAAAAAAAAATTCAAAGAAAAAAATCAAAAATGATTGTCAAAACGGATCAAATTATTGATTTTGGATCAACAAATCAACAAAAACAACAACAATTTGATTTAGAACATAATGAACAACCACCACAACAACAACGACAATATCCTTATCCGGTAAAATTTGTTACAATCAATACTTGTTCAACATTATATAGACAATGGTCAAAATTAAAGAAAAAATCCATTTATAAACGTGCAATTGATGGTCTTAATTTGGAAATTGAATATGCCGATACAATTGATCTTTGTCGTAATAAAGATAATGATAATTTAATTACAATATTAGCATTACATGGTGCACCTGGTTCACATGAAGATTTTGAACAATATATTCAATATTTTGGATCAAAACAAATTCGTTTTATTGCACCAAATTATCCTGGTTAGTATTTTTTTTTATAAAATTATCATTTAATTTCATTTTTTTTAATAATAATAATTCATTTGATGTTCATCATCATAGTTGTCCTAAATAATTCCAATTATTTAGATCGACAAAATTTCCAATCATGAGATCATGTTTGTTTGTTTTTTTTGAAACCGTATCGATCGATTGATTTATTGATTGATTATATCAAAAAGATACTTGATGGTTGTCATGTTCAATAGTCTTTTAAGGACGGTTGTTTATTTAATTTGTGCTAATTTTGAAGTTTATTTTTGTTATAGAAAGCTAGATAAATTTATTTCAAAAAGAATGAACTATTTTTTTTCTAGCCATCTTATCAATCAATAAATTTGTTTGTTTTTTTTTTCATTTTTATCAATTTTATCATCATTCTTATTCACATTTCTTCTGAGAATTTTTTTTTCTTATGATAACGAAAAAAAAATTAATTTTCATATTTGTTGTTTTTTTTGTTGCAGACATCAACATTACAATACAGACAAAAGTATTTCGTCATTCGGCTGAAGAAAAATTTGAATATATCAAGGATTTTCTTCGTGCTATTAATGTTAAAAGGTAAAAAATAAATAAATTTTTAAAATTTTTTTAATAAACATGACTCATCATGAATGCAATTTTGTTTTCTCTTTTTTCACATCATTTTATTATCCACGTCATAATTATATTGATTGACATAATCGAAATGTTATGAAATTCTTCAATTTTTTTTTATTCGAACAGTATTGATTTAATACTATCACATAGTAGTTCAATATATCCAACTGTACGATTACTTTGTGATCAAAATGATGTTCATGTTAATGCGGTTGCATTTTTTAATCCGGTTGGTCATCGTCGTATACAGGCTATGCGACCAGCATGGTTTACTGAAGGTTCAGTAAAAATTTATCAGAATAAATTTGGTCGTACTGTTTATCAAATTTTTGGTAAAGGTTTTATAAAAGTAACCGGTTCAGTGACCGTACGACCAGATAGTATGAATAATGTAATGTTATCGGCACAAACAATGCGTTATTCAAAATATAAACAGGTAAATCTTATTATATAATGTATTTTTTTTTCATTCTTCTAATCGATTATTTTTGCTTTTTCCATTACACAAAAAAACAATTGAAATAATTTAGCTGGAAAAATATCTAAGAAAATTGAAGGAAAATCAAATACCAACCTTATGGGTATGTGGTGATAATGATCGTTTGGTTGAAAAGGAAATTTTCTACGAAATGATCGATATAATGGAAGGTAAAGAATGTAATTGGCAAAAATATGATTGTAATGGTAAAATGCTCACACAATGTAAGTGTAATATTATTTGGTTTGAAAACAAAAATTGATTTTTTAACATTTTATTTTTTCGAAAAAAAATAGATCAACCAGACAGTAATATAAGAATATTATTCTTTGAACAAAGTGGTCATTATACATTTCAAAAACATTCGAATGAAGTCATCAAAGAATGTGATAAATTTCTTAACCAAATTCTACATCAACGAAACAATCATCATTATCATAATCATCATCATCATCATAAAATTCATAAAAACACTGATAATATTGATCATCATTAAGATGAAAAAAAATCTTGTTTAAAAATGAAAAAAAAACAATTTGATAAAATTGTGAAAAATTTTTTCTGTTCATAGGATATATATTGATATAAATTTTGTAATTGATAATAAATTTTTTAAAAATTTGAAAAAAAATTTAACATTTATAAATTATTATAGAAATAATCTATGTACAATTAATGCATGTAATGAACCGAATGTAAATCCGGCTAATATATCGCTTAGGAAATGCCATTTGATTAGATATTGGCTATATCCTGGTATTAGATATATAAGAAAAATGACCATCTCTAACGACAATAATAATTTATTTTTCCATTTATTAGATTTCGATGTTGATGATTGTTGTTGTAATTTTTGATAAAAATTTTCATGCAAAAAACAAACCAAAAATGTTCCAGCGAATGCACCCAATGATGAATGACCAGAATAGAATGAAAGACGTTCATTTGTTATATACCATGGATAATCATTATTTATACATTCAAATGAATCAATATAATGATCAATATTTGTACCATTAGGACAATAACGATCTAAATGACAAAAATCATAAACATGTGGCCGTAAACGACCAAATGTACGTTTGAATATTTCGGTCAAATTCAAATTGATCATAAAACCGATTAGAAACTTTTTCAATCCTGTTGAACATGATGATGAAGATGATGTGTATCGTTGAATCATATAAATTATCAATATTGGTAGAAACAATGTAAATAGAAATAAATATGATGTTTTAAACCATAATGGTCGAAATCGATGTTGTAATGATTTATCCGTACAATTAAATCCACGTTGATATGGTGGCCAATAACGAAATATCATTATAAACAATATGATCAACAGAATTATAATTTTACGATCAATATTCAAAGCCATGTTCTTCTTCGATATTCTTTTCATTGACAATTTTCTCAATCTACAAATTGAATAAAACATATATCAAAATCATCTCATCATTTTAATCTTTTATAATCAAAACTGTTTTTTTTTGGCAAAAAAAGATGATGATAATAATAAAAAGCCAAAGAAAACATGTACCTCACATATTATTACACGTTTATAAATATTGATGATTCGATTTTATGTCTATTTTAACCGAAAATGTTTTAACTTAAAAAAAAGCTCTAAATAGCGGAAACAAATTGAAATTTAAAAAAAAAAATTCAAAACTTTTTAACAATTGACCAATTCTAATTGAAAAATACAACAACAAACATTGTTGTTTTTTACTAATTCATTATAATCGAAAACATGTGTGTCCAATATATTGGATGAATATTCATGACACATGTCATTTGGTTATTATTTTCTTTTTTCTTGTTGTTGAATTTCAATGGTAATTAGATATTATCTTTGTTTTGGACAAGAATTTGTTCTTAACAACCATATGGTTGTGTTTTTTTTCTGAACAAACATTCATTTCGGTGTATATACATTCCAAACTTATCAAAAAACACCAAAAAAAAAGAAGAATATATACCGATCATATATTGATAAAGAAAAAAAATGGCAGAGGTTGTTAGGGGTCATGAAATGGAAATGAAATAAACTTATTCGCGAATGTATTTCATTTCGCGAAATGTTTCAGCAATCAAAAGAGGACATAGATATAAGCAAAAAAGGCGAGAGGACACGACCTTTCGTTCGTTATTTTTCTGAATTATCATTATCATACGACGACGACGACGACGACCATTATCATTCGATAACGATTTGTTTGAATTCATATATTTTTTTTCAATTTTTAGGCACACTGTGTTTGTCTGTGGTTTTCCTGCCCTGTTAATGTTTTTTGTTTGTTTGTTACTTTTACTTACTTATTTTGTTTATGAATTTTTGTTTTTCCCTAAAATGGATTCATGTAATTTCTTTTTTTATCTCTCTCTCTTTCTCTCTCATTCAATACGTGCCACACAATTCGAACAGCTGTATCCGTGTCCTGAATCCGAAAAAAAAATTACAAATTCATTTGGCAAAATTCACAATATAAACATAGATTCTGCTATTTTTCCCATTTCCATTTGTTTATTTATTTTTTCTCATCAATCTGAATGTGATTGATTTGATTTGATTTGATTTTGATTTCGGAAAATGATGACAATACGGATATAATCCGAGAAAAAAAATCAATCTCAAAATTCAATGTTTATGTCTTTCGATATTTATGTCTTTTTTTGTTTCGTATCATCATCACCAACATAATCCAAAGATTTGATTAATCCAACCAAAAAAAAACAAGTTTTTCGAAAATATTCTCGTTTTGGGAATCGTTTCACACAGACCAAAAATATTTACATTTTTTCGTCTCGTCATCCAATCATCAAACATTCAATTCAATTCATTTCATTAGTTGGGCGTATGTATGTGTGTTCCAAACTTGAATCATCGGTTGTTGTTATTATTATTTCAGCCGCAAAAAAACCAATTAAATTAATATATACCATGAATGTGTCATCTGGATTCTGATTCTGCTGATGATCAATCACATTGCTTATCATCATCATCATTTGATGATAGAGGCAGTAACGAAAAATGAAATAAAAATAAAACGAATGGAATTTCTCGCCACTAATAGCACACACACACACACAGAATCCACATTGTTTATTTATTCTATCACATCAGACAGTGGTCGACAGTCAGTCAGTAAAAATAAAAAAACCAGCCGAATTGCTATTCTGGGCAATTTTTTTTTTATTATCCGCATTGACGGATTTGTAATGTCTGTCTGCTTGGGTTGGTTGGTTTGGTCGCCACTTTCACCACTGAATCTTTTCATATTTTCAATCTGGCGACAGTTTTTTATTTTATTTTTAAATTTTCATTCAAGTTTTTTTATTCTGCTATTGATAATCAACGGAAACGACAAAGTGATTAAAAAAAAGTGATTTTTATTTTCTTTCAAAGTTTGTCGTTTTGTTTTTTCGTCCAATTATAATTATTGTGCATCGGATACGAAAAGACTATCAATGATTCTCGCCATTATTGATTATTGGATTTCAGATTTTTGCTTACAATTTTCTTATTTTATTGTTTTGCCTAATCAAAAAGATTGGTCCACATTGTTACACACACACACACAAAAAAAAGGTCATCGTACTTCTCGTATATTTTTTTGGTAGTTTGTCTCCGATCATCATCATCAATATCATCATTATTATGATTCCTTTTTGTTTTCCATTTTAGTTTTTACAAGGAAAAGAAATCCTTTTTTTTAAAAAAAATTTCTGTACGACTGTGTTTGTATTGTATGATTCATTTATCTTGAACAAGAAGAAGTAAATGACAGGCGAAAAAAAACCGACGATTGCAACCAAAATAAGACATTTACAAATTATTCGTTAAAGAATGCTGGAAACAATTTGTTTGCACTGAAACAAAAAAAAACCTGAATTTTGAAATTATTGTGAAATTGATGTTTTCGGTGCTTTTTAATTATCTTAATTTGATCATTTTTGATATAAACATTATTCGTCATCGTTTGTTGTTTGTTAATTATAATAATTAATTCATATGACGTCAAAAAAAAATGGAAATAATTTACCTTTTATCATCCTATATCATTATCATCATCGTACTTTTAATTGGTAGTGGTCAATCCAGTTTAAATTTTCATCATTCAAGATCAACACGTCATTCAAAAAAAACAACATCATCGAATAATAATAATGATATCATTGATTTTCGTTATAACACTGGTCGTATTGATGGTATCATTAATTTTATTAATGGTTCATTATTAATAATAAGTAATGGTTATTATTGGTTACTTGATTATAATAATCCATTACCATCAACATATAATGTTAATGGTCGTGTTGAACAATTATACGATGGATTTGATAAAATTGATGCAATGTGGATAGATCCATATAATGATATTAGTCCACAAATTTATCTTATATCCAATGTATGTATTTGGAGAATGTTTTTTTTTCTTAAATTCCTTATCATTATTTAAAATTTACAGTCACCTGAATATGGTCTACGTGTTGTTTGTAAAGAATTTGATGATGAACCATTTAATGATGTTTCAAGTTTTTGTCATCTACCAGTTGATAATCGATGGTTAACAGCATTAAAAGATTTGGATCCTAATCGACCAATTGATGCAGCAACATGGCGTAATCGTACAAAAAATCAAGATGGTGGTTTTTGGGTATTTTTTCAAGGTATTTTTCCTACTTGATGATTTTAAAATTTTCTCGATAAATAAAAAAATTTTCCCTTTGGGAATAATTATAGGGAGAAAAATGATTACTATCGATCCATATGAAATGAAACTTCGATTCACTTATGACATACAAAAATGGATGTCCATCAACGATTCATTAACAGCTGCATTCTTTGATTATCGTAAAAGTATCTATCATTTGTTTTTAGATAATAATCGATATTATACATGGACAGTGAATATTTCGTATATGAATAGTTTACCAATGTCATGGGTAATAATTAAATTTCAATCATTTTTTTTTGTCGATTTTTGTCTAAATTACATACATATTCAATCGACAGGATCGAGCTTTTCTTCATGGCAAACTTAGTCCATTGATGCAGATTAATCGAGATTTTTTCGGATTTCCCGAAAAAGATATACGACCTTATCCACAACCTTATTTAAGGAAAAATTCTCAAGATATTCAAACAAATCATATAGTGCCTGGCGAAGAATTCGATGATGATATGGATGTACGACGTCGACGATTATCAACAACAACAACAACGACAACCTTAGCTCCAAGACATTGGTTACCACGAAAACCAATTCAACCTAAATTGCCTTATAATTATAATCAAAGAAACAATGAAAATAAACATGATAATAATGATGATCGTTCAAATTTTATTCAAACTGATTATGATTCTCATCTTTGGCGTTTAAAACAAGAAAATGTTCGTGATTTTATTCCAATCAAATCGAATCATATACGTCAAACAGATATTTCATCCGAAGCATTGTTGGTTCATTCGTCAACATCATTATCTTCAACATCGTCAACAAACATCTCGAAACCTTGTACAAAAATGATTTATTTCATCACAGTTTTTTTTCATTTTTTATTCATATATTTAATCAAATCATATATTTAATCAAATCATATATTTAATCAAATCATTTTGAATGTTTTTTTTCTCGTTTTATTTGTACATGATTTTTTTCGAACAAAAAAAAACAAACTACTATTTACAACAATTTTATAATAACACATGTAATATAACCTAGAAACAAAATACAAAAATTATTTTCAAGTTGATCTTAATTGACTTGATTCATGATAATATCCTTCATATTCAATAGTATCATTATGTTGACAATCATTAACAAAACCAATATAATCAATTTCCAAACGAAATGGACCTGAATATGCTGGTGAATGAACTAATATACCCATTGATTTGATTGTTTGTGGATTAAATACTTCTTGTTGATCTTGAATATAACCTTGATAATGAAAATAAAATCGTGATAATGGTATTTTAACATATTGCCAATATGGTCCACCAAATGTATACATCATAAAATTATAACGATCAAACCAAGTAATATCAAAATTATCAGAAGTATCAAATGATATTTGATACATACGACCATCACCACGAACTCTAAGAATAACGTGCGTAAATTGTTCAAAAATACTCATTCCATCCGTAGGCAAATTGAATGGATGGCGACTTTTTTGACTGGATAAAAATGCATAACCAGTACGAACAGTTTTACCATCTTTTGGTGCTGTTGTGTCTAAATATCCGGAGAATAAAGCATGACCAGATGGTGATACAGTCCATGAACATTTTGAAAAGCCTAAATTTCATTGAATTCGGGTCATTGATTTAATAATTATGAATGATTAAATCCTTACCGACATTATAATCAGCATCACAAGTGACAATCCAATTGTTCATATCATTTAATTGATCCATTTTATATTCCAAAGAATAGCTGGATAATTTTCCATTATTACGTTGATTAAAATCCCAAATTTTTATCAATTGACCATCATCAAATGATACGGTACCAACATCCGAACGAAATGCACGAAATGTTGCATCCTTGAATGTTTCCCATGCCCATTTCAAATCCTTTTTGAACATTTTTGTTGATTCTTTTAAACGTTCAGTTTCTCTCATTTGAGAACGTTTTTTATTTTCAAAATCAACCGATCCACTTTTGGTTTGTTCATACAATGATCGTTTCGATTGTATCATTATCATCGCCGTTGATGTATATTTTGTTCCAATAGATACATTTGGATCGATAATTGATCGAAATAATCTTAGATATGATGATTGTCTCATTTTGGTATTGATCTGAATCAATTCAAATCAAAAGAATGGCCGAAACAAATCAAAACAAATATTCCGAATAAAAACATATGATCATTGTTTTAATGAATCGATTGTATCGTTTTGCGCCGATGCGTTAAACATCGATACTTACCTTTTTTGTATACAAATATTTAGCGCATCTTTTCATTATAATGGCGGTAATTTTTTTTTATTCCGGACATCTTAAAAATTATTTGGACATTCATTCAGGTATTTATTTCTAAGACATTCGAAATCAACGAAAAGTTTAAGAATGTTTTGCTTCCTGTGATTTATCTAAATTGAAATTCATACTTTTTAATCGTTTGGTGATGATTTATACGGAAACGGATTTTACCCGTTCACCATTAAAAGAAATCTGTTTCGAACATATTTTCATTCATTTAACCATCAAAGATTTATTTTGTTTACAAAATGTTTGTCAACGATTCGTACGATTGATTGGTGAATATTTCGAACGAATGGAATCGGTTGATTTTTCTATTTATTCGATAAAAAATTCACAAATATCATGGCATTGTTTACAATTGATGCTCAAAGATAATCAATCTATTTGTGATTTAAATCTATCTCAATGTAAATGGATTGATGATTATCGTTTTTTGAATCTAATTGAAGGTCAAAATCGTCTCAAATCAATTAATCTTTCATCAACATTTTATATCAGTAATCGATCATTGATGACAATGACATTATATTGTCCATATTTGGAAACAATTATATTGGAAAATTGTGGTTGGCTTCAACCAGAAACCCTATATTGCATTGCTGAAAATTGTCATCACCTTGCCACATTAAATCTAGCCAGTTGTTGGAATTTAAATGATAATTGTATTCGAATTTTATTGGAAAAATGTGGCCATTCATTACAAAATCTAATCATTGCTCGAATTTATTCATTAACAAATGAATCAATGCTGGCAGTTCGAACGTACGGTTCAAATATTCGATTTTTGGACATATCATTTTGTTGGAAAATCAATGATTCCGGTTTGAAGTAAGTTTCAATTGAAATGTTTGATTTCAATGGAAAAAATAATTCTTTTCTCTATAAATTTCTGTTATTACTGTTTATAGATATTTAATCGAATGTAAAAATCTGAAACAAATCGTAACACGAAAATGTTCAAACATTACCTGTTTGGGTCGTCAATATATTTGTGAATATTCAAACATTATCCAGATTGAATGAATTCTTTTTTCCCGTTATTGTTAATCATTTATTCCGAATGTTTATTGTTCGTATTATTATTATTATTGTTTGTTTGTATTTTCTTATTGTATAATTTAGTTAATTTGTTTCCAAAATTATCTTCAAAATAAATATTTTATTCAATATATCGTGGTCATCGTGGACAAACAAAAAACAATTAGCCTAAATTTTTTTTTTTGTTACAAGCTTCAATTAACATTGACTTGACTTTCAGAAGAAAAAAAGCAAAACGTTAATTTCACAAATCGATTTAGAATTTCAGAATCAATCGGAATCTCTCTTTATACCAATGAGTGAGAGAGATGTTCCACATCGACCAAATCGACATCTTACCTTATTCGACATTAACCTGATTCGTGATCTCGTCAATTTTTAATTCGTAACTGAATTTTCCTTCTTGTTTCAAATGTCTGAAAAGACCTTGAACATTTTGTTTGGTTTTTTTTTTATTTTGAAATATAAAAAAAACTAATTTGATTATAATATGGACAACATCAAAAACGGTAAACATTGGTATATATAGTTTTTTGTTTGTTTTTTTTAATACAATAAATGGCATCACGTATCAAATTCAAAAGATTTTCTTTTCAATAGTTTGTAAGGCTGTGATTTGTTGTTGTTGTTGTTGTTAAACATTGATCTAATTTTTGTTGTTAAATTATAGTATCAAAAACGAATAGTCAAAAAATTTGAACGACCTTCTTCGATTTGAAATGCAAAATATTTTTGATACCATGATATCATACGATCATTACAATCCAATGTTAATTTATAACAATTTAATACTTTCGACAATGATTTTAATGTTTGTACTAATGCAACACCAAGATTTTGTCCACGATATTTATTATCCACGACAACATCTTCGATTCTGGCTCTCTAAATAATCAATAGAATTGAAAAAAATAAATCAGAATTTGATAAGAAAAAAAATATATATGATAATTACCAAACCACCACCATGTATGAATTTATATTCGGTAAATAATGTAGCCGAACCGGCAATTTGATTTGTTTCTAAATCTTCAATTACTGTCACATAATAACAACCATTTGTTTTCATTTTATCAAAAATCTCTTCATTAATTGAATGAAAAAATTGTGATAAGATTAATTTCAAACATTGAAAAAAAACATATGATATTGATATTACCATCAAATCGTTCGCGTGATACATCACCAACTTCTGTTAGCTGTGATAATACTGTAAGAAATCCATATTCATAATCATTTTGAGCCAATGGCCTTATACGGAAATTATCTTTATAAAGAAAAAAAATTATTTAAAAAAATCATATTCAAACGAATGGATGGAAAAATACCTTTTATCGAAACTTTTGAATCAATTTTATATGCTTCATCAAGAATTTTTTCATCATAAATATATTCGATTGATGATGTCATTTTGTTTTGTTTTTTATTCGATGCAAAAAAATAAGCTAACAAAAATGGAATTGATCAAAAATCCAATGATTATTATAACGTGTTTTCCAAAAAAAAAAATAATAATTTTGTAGTAAAGGAATTCAATTAATACAGATATTAATAACGACAATCATTGATTATGATTGTACATTTTGATAAAATTTTTATTACAATATTTGATTGAAATGATTACAAATTTTTTAAAAAAAGTTTATCAACGAAGATTAAATAATTAAATGAAATCATAATTGAACGCTTATGACGTCTCCAATAACCAACAACAGGTGAGTAGAAAGGAAAAACAGAAAATCCATCATGAATGAAATGGAATTTTTTCGTCGCAAATATCATTTATTTACAAAAAAAAATATGGATATATTGTATGTAACAGAAGAAAAAAGAGAAATACAGGGCTCGTTTTTCTGTATTTCTGTATTGTTGGCGTTGCTCAATTATTATATATTCATCAGCTGATTTTTTTTATTTGTTCACGAATTAAAAAGAACACAAAGCATCATCGTGGTAATCGTGACTTATTTATTCGTTGTCAGCAATAATAATAATGGCTAACAATGAAATGATAAATTATATGAGACAAAACAAAACAGAAAAAATTACATGGAACGTATCATTTTATTTCACATGGGTGTTGACCATGGTAATAACACGCGTGTGATTAGCAAATGAAAAACAAAAAAGAAAAATTCAATTGGCACTAATTAATTGAATTATTTATTGTTATTTTATACGGAAAAAAATTAATTAATTATAACGGATAAATTGAAAAATTAAACATCAACATCATTATTCATTCAACATAATCATAAACACCATGTATTGTTGGTGGAATAATACCAGTACCGGTAGCCACTTCTGCACGTGCAATTTCAGTAAATGTACGTGCATCCAATATAAGCAAATAATGTGGTAATAATTCATTTCCGGATAAAACTAAACATAATAATATACCATCATCTTCATCATTTGATCCTGGTCTTGCAATAAATATACATTCACCGGGGAAAAAATCATCCGTATCTTTCCATATTAAAACGGATTTATCTTCAACATTTAGTTTACAAATTGAACGAGAAAAATTACCCTGTTCAAAAATTCCACTACCATAACAATATTTATATTTATGGCCATTAAATCGACGATAATTGATTGTTGGTAATTCGAAACCAGGCTTACATAGTGATTCACCTGTTAACATTATCAAATCTTTTTCCATTAAAATAGCCGTTGCATTAGTATTAGCCAATGTAACAAGATTTTCACCCAATTTTATCTGTCAATAACATTTTTGTTTTGTTAGTAAAAAGAAGCACCAAAAAACCGCCAAAAACTTACATCATTAATGTTTACAATTGGCATTACAAATCTTGTCGGTACAGCTTGATTATCATCATCATAAATATTTTTACGCATCTGATGTAGATCCCATTTATCTAAAATTGTTGGATTTTTATATGCCATAAAATCGGCAACAATATGACCATTATCTTCATATGAATTTATCATATGAAAATAAAAAAATGCATTCGAATAATATTTCTGTACAATTTGACCATTTTGTTTATTGATTATGAAAAATTTCGTTCGTTCATTTGGATGCCATTCAAAACAATCTTTTAATGGTCGTCCTTTCGGTGTACAGGTTGCCAATTTCAAACCATTCACCAATAATGGTAATTCAATAAAAATTATATAATTTTTTGTTATACCAAAACTATGATAATAAGCAATACATGTTGTCCAACGTGAACAAATCGATGTTAATATTGTTGATTGTTCCAATAGGCTTTTCTCTGTTTGTTCGTCGAAAAGGGGAAAAAGAAAAATCGCATTACATTTTTGTTGTTGTTGGCATTCCAAAAACAAAAACAAAAAAAAAATTATCATCATTATTTGTCATCATTATGCTTACCATTATCATTATTATTATTATTATTATTGTTATCATCATTATCATCATAATGAAACAATGGAATTTTAATTAAATGATATTTCATTCCTGTTAAAAAACTTGAACTAAGATTATAGGCATAATTTTCATTGTACATATATTGTACATGTGAACAAGCAAGATTTACGCCAACAATTTTATCCAAATTAATCTGAATGTTGAAAAGAAAAGAAAAGAGAAAAAGAGAAATGAATGTTTTTTTTTCTAGAAAAAAAGGTCGATTTTAAAATAATGTTAATTTCATTCAGGAATGACATTGATTGTTTTTTCATACACATCAATCTAATCATGATGATCATCATCAGTTGAATCAACAAAAACAATGAAATTATTAATAGAATCGACATTGACAATCAATCTTTTCTATAATATTATCTCTCTCTCTCTCTCTCTCTCTCTCTCTCTCTCTCTCTCTCTAAAAATCAAACAATAATAATAAAATACCTTTTTCATAACATCCAATGTTTTTGGACAAATACGCCAAATATTACATGTTTCGGATGATGCATAATATTCATTTGATAATTTATAAACATTTATACAACCATTATCAGTTAAATCGGATGGTACAATTTGTGAAAATATACGATTAAATACATTTTTACATGGATCAGGAAATGCACGTGTACCAAATTCAGTATAAATTGGTCGTTTTACTTTCATCTTTTTTTGTATTGAAATGAGATAAAGAAAATTTGGATTGTTTAATTAAAACTAATGAATAAATATGAATAATAAACTCACGAATCGATTGGATCGAAATCTTCATACCATTTTTCTATAGGCATCCGATTCTAAAAATTTCGAAACATATTTTACACAACCATGTTTGATGGAAAATTTACATAATAATGCACAACCATCCAACCAATGATTCAATACAAATTCATCATCAAGATCCCATTTTCCTGGTCCTAAACGTATTAATTCAACATTTAACCATTCAGGTATGTTTCCTGTTTGTTGTCAATCATCATCATAATCAATTAAATAAATAAAAATTCAATGAAAAGAAAAACAACAAAAACTAATATTTACCTTTAATTTTAGTAGTTATCTCTTGACAAACTTCACTACATGAAACCAATAATTTATCCATGTTTTTTTTTTTGTTTCATCAAATTCTTTGTAATAATTGTTGATTATTATATGATTATGATGATAATTGAACAAAACAAGAATTATATTTCGTAAGAATCCAAAACATTTACAAAAACTGATTTAAAAACGATGAGACAACAACAACAACAAAATAAATAAATTGCGATACGAGATTTTTGCTTCCGTATTTTCGATCAATTTTTTTTGTTGTTGCTGTTGCTGAAGCTGTTATTAATATTTTTTTCCCAGTCTAATCCTGTGTCAGTGTTTATGGATCGATGGAAAAAGGATGTTCCAAAACAGAAAAAAAAGAAGATTTCTTCCTAAATTTAATCCAGTTTTTTTCCCCACAAACATAAAAAATACTCTCTTTTTTTTAACAACAACAAACGAAAAAAGAGAGTGAGTGAGAGTATCTTTTTTATTCAAACAAAATAAAATCCATTTTAATCAATCAATGTGATGATCAGATACTTTTACTTTTTTTTTACCCGAGCAACGAAAAAAAAGAAAATCCGTAAATCTTTCTCTTTCATTTGGATTGGCTTGTTTTATATTTGATGTATTCAACTTCCTGTAATTTTTCTCTCATAATCTTTCTCTCATTTTTTTTCTATTACCCCGTTTACTGGATGTTTCGAACTTACTTCTCTTTCCTTTCCTTTTTTTGATTTCAATCGATCAAAAATTTTTTCTTTTTTTCCCCTTCATCATCATCGTTGTTGTTGTTGTTGTCTGGACATCGTCATCGATATTAGTTCGTTTGAAATGCAATAAATTCAATTCTCAAGAAATGATGAAACCATTCAGGAAAAATATTGAGTTTTTTTTAAAAATTTTTAAAAAAAATGAAATTTTTCATTTGAATTGAAATGACTAAAATGAACATCCATCAAAAACCAACAAACAAACAAACAAATTTAGTTAACCGAAATATCACATGCTTTTTTTTAGACACATCGATGGTCAAATAATCAACGGCGACGATGATGATGGCTGCAACGATGTTGTTTCGGCCATGTTTCAATCAACATATCACCGACATCTCCATGGATCTCACATCGCACACGGATGACACAATTTTTTAATTTTTTATTTTTCCATTTCCATTAAATTTTATTTATAATTTGATTTTTTTGTTTTTATTTTTCTTTGAAAACAAGAAACTAAATTTGAACAACTAAAGTAAAATTTTTTTTTTCATTTTTTCATTTTAATCAATTGGAATCCTTTTGGATGAAACAACAACAAAAATATGAAAAAAAACAACGATGAAATTTAGAAAAATGAAAAAAAATCGGTCAAAACAACTTAATGAATGATTCGATTTAATTCGATCACGATGATGATGATGAAATTAAAATGAACAACATTGATGATAATGATTTTGCCAAATAATAATTATTACATTCGATGATAATGTGTAGGTCTTTCTCTCTCCCTCTCTCTCTCTCTCTCTCAAAAAGAACAATTTCTATTGATCTTCAAAAAAAAAATCCGGAATCGATCATTGATCTTACTTCGTTGATTTTGTAATTAATTATTTATGATTATATTGAATTGAGCAAAGTAAAAGTAGCCATTTCGATAATGATGTTGATGTCATGACTTTTGTTTTGAATTTTTGTTGTTTGTTGTTGTTGTTTGATTGACTTTCACTTTCAAATAATGATTAAGTTTGAATCCTTTTAAGCCATATTATCTCTGTCTGTCTGCTGAGATTGATATCTATCATCGATTCAAAGTCAATCACGTTACATAATTATCTTTTTTCGAAATTATCATTATTATTTCACGAATTATGACATTGAATTAGCAAGAAAAAAACAGCATAAAAAAATTAATTAATTAAAATTTGAAAACAAAATTTTTTTAAAAAAAATCTCACTGATTAAACAACAAAAATGGAAAGAAACGATTTCTATAAAATGTTGACAAAAAAAAATATATTCATCTAAAACCAAAACAATTCTTAATCTTCATATAAACGAAATTCATTTGATGATGATGAATCAACACTATTTTGTGATGGATATTTTAAATCATATTCATTTGCACCATTATATAATGAATTATCGAAAATTTCATTTTCATTCGATACTAATAGATCAGGTTTTCTTGCAGCCGATGATAACCATGATGTTAGATCACCAATAAATGCTTTATGTTGTTGTATATCCTGTTGATCAATATTAGAATTTGGTGATGATAATTGTGATGGTGGTGGAGATGATGGTGGTGATGATGATTTTATTCTTGTTTTTGATAGTCCATTAGACATTGTTGATCGATTACTCATCGATTTTTTCGATGATGATGATGATCTTGATATAATTGAATCGATTGTTTCAACTACTGGTTTAATTTCTTGTACAACTTTTCTTACTGGTGTTATAATTTCATGTATTTGTTGTACAATTGGTTTAACCACTTGATGACGTAAAATATGTGGTTCATCTTCAGAAAATGATTCAATTGGTTCTTTATTTCCTTTTGATGATTCATGTTGATGAAAAACATTCACTTTACTTGATGCTGATGTAAATTTTATATGAAACATTGGTACTGAACTTTTAACTTCAATTAAATTTGGTTTATATGGTTCTTTTGGTGTATCAATTTCATAATGATTAACAATATGATGTGAATTTATTGCCGCTTTTATCGGTGTAGCTGTATGTAATGATGATGATGATGTTTTATGGCCATATGATGAACATTTAATCACTGTTATTGCCTAAATGAACAAAATCAAAATTACAACAACAACATTAACAACAACAAAAACAAACAAATGATAACAATAATAATAATAATGTAGAACATTACCTGTAAAAGAATCAATATTATTGATTGTAAAAAAATAAAATTAAAACGACAATTTTTAGGCCTTAAGCCTGTTGATAATGTTATTAACATAATCATTGTAATGATTTGGTTGTGTGATTTTGTTTTAATTGGAAAAAAATTAAATCACTAATGATGGTGATGATGATTATGATGATAAAAACTTTTATTCGAATCGGATTGATATGTTTTTCTTTTTGGCTGAAAATGTGATTTAATGATGATGTAATAGTGATTAATGGAAGAAAAAAAAAATATATTTCACTTATGATCTTCGTTAGTTGAATCACTGAAAAAATAAATTGAGAAAAAAAGAAATCAAATCGATGATGATGATGATTTTTTTTATCGTTGCTGTGCCAAATGAAACAACGATGGATAGAAGAAAAAGAGATGGCCAAATTAATCAGTGAATAAGAAGAAGTAGAAGAAGAAAAAAAATGTAAATTAACAAATTTTGCACATGATAGTGTTGTTTGTCAATCGTTGTTAAAATACCTCTATGTAATGAAAATGATATGAATGTGTGAATAATGATTATGTTGATGATGATGATGATGAAACTAGTTCAATGTTTTTGGATCAGATGATGATGATGAACGAAATCAGAAAACGAAAGAAAGATTGGATAGAAGAAAGAAAAAATCATTCAATCCATTCATCTATGATGAAGAGAGTATCTATTTGATGGATGTTGATGATCTTGGCCATGCATGTAGTCGACGAACAAGTTGGATTATACGAAAATATCATAAAGTATATTGGATTGGATTGGATTTTTTTTCGGTTTAAAGGGGATTAGATGCATATATTAAGTATTGAAACATGTGTTGTTTTTTTTATTCAATAATTTCTAGTTGTGTTCCATAGAAATTAATGTTACATGGTCGTTTTCCAAAATACATACAGCTAACGAAAAAAAAGGAATGATGTAAACTATTTATGATTATAAAATCAATGTTGTTGATGATGATGATGATGGTTGTCGATATATATTACCATTGATGATGGTGGTCGTGACTATTTTTTTGTTGTTGAAAAAAAATAGATTTTCAAAACATCAATATCGTGATCATCGTTTACCATTGAAAACAAATCGACAAATCGGATCAACGAGATAATATTCAATATCTTGCAATAAAAAAAACAACACAAAATGATTGATCACCAGAAAGAAAATAACAAAAAAAAAAAAGAAAATTGGTAATGAAAAAAAATATCGATTGTATCGATTGATTGTAAGATTATTTAAACAATGTGAAAAAAAGTTCTATTCGAAGAATTTTTCTTTTCTTTTCTTCTTCATCATCATCATCCATTCGACTTGAAATAAATTCATCGAATCGTTTCATTTCAAAAGTCTTTTTCTGGATTTAACTCTTTCTTTTTCAAATGTTTTTTTTTCTTTCTCTTTTTCAATGTTTCTTGTATGTTCAGAGAATAACTATTTGATTTTCTCTCATTCGTTTCCTTTTGGACAACAAAATAAGTAGAAAAAATAACGAATCTTTACGATGAGAAAAACAAAACAAAACATCATCTTTCTCTCTCTCTCTTTCTTTTTCAATTTTCACTTTTTTTTACACATCTGCATAGCAGAAAAAAAAGTATTTGTCATTTCAAATGGAAAAAAATAAGAATTTTCTTCCAAATACAAGAATGGCAGACGTACTATAGTAGTTTTTCATTTATAAACATTTATAAACGATGATTATGTAATGTCAATTGATTTATTTTTAAATATTAAAAAAAATATGAATATAGACAGTACATACATTGAATAGGATGATGATAATGATATTCAGCTTGTTGTTGTTGTTGAAATAACCACAAATAATATCATTATGCAGACAAACAAACAAACAAACATTCATTCAATGTCTATTTGCATCTCTTATTCATTCATTCATTCATTCATTCATTTTTTCAATGATAATGCACATATAGAAAATGAGAAAAAAATCTGATGATACTTTATTTGGGATTTAAGAAACTGATGATGATGTTGATGATGATAATGATTTTTTTTTGAAAATTTGTTTTGTTATTGAATAAAACAAATTTTTGTTACAAATGAAAATCTAGGTTCGGAATAGAATAAATTCAAACAAAAAACTCTTGATCCATCACAAACAAACAAACAAACAAAATAAAAATGAAGGTCTTTCTTTTTGTTCGGAATGTTTCAGCAAATCTTTAACTTTTCTCATGTCAATCACATTCATTCAGAAAAATTTGAAAAAATTTTTTGATCAAAACAATCTAAATTCAGCAATAATAATAATAAAATTTGGCTGACCATTGTTGATATCCGATAAACAATAGCCAATAAAAAATGATTGATGACCATTAATTGAGATCGATTTGAATCTAATCGATCAATCAATCAATCAATCAATCAGAAATGACATGGAAAAAATAACATTGTTGAAACATTATTCATTGAACATAACAACAACAACAAAAATGATGTTCCAAATGGATGGAAAAGTGAAGAAAAGAATAAGAAGAAGAAAAAGTTATCGCCAGGTCAACAGTGTTTTTTTTAAAACTTTTTGTTCAATAAATAATGTCAATAACTTTATTAGAACATCTCATTATGGTTTTGATGATGATGATTATGATTCGATTAGATAAATTTTATGAAGAAAAAAAAATTATTATTCGATTTCATCATTCGTTGACATACGTTGATTTAAAACGAAGTGAAAAAATTTCATTTTTTTTTTTTGATAACAAAACTCATTTCGAAGGATTTCATTTTTTGAGGAAAAAATGTCATAAAATGAAAATTCTAAATGCTAGCAAAGAGACTAATTACGAATCATATAATCCTTTGATAATCATTATGTTGATTATGATTATGAATTTTTTGAATCAGATTTTTGTGAAATCCGATTAAAATGATTAGATCTAATCATCAAATCATCAATTAGATTTACAATAAATACAATACAAAATTAATCTTACCGATACGATGTTTGAAGATTTGAATACGGATTATCTTCATTATCATCACCATCATCATCAAAAAATAAAACTAAAATCGAATGAAACCTGAATAATAAAAGATGTTCGCAAAAACTCAAATTCGAACGAATTTTACAACAAATTTTTTTGAACGTCATATATGAACAAACATAATTTAATGATAATGTTGATGACCAAAAAGAACAAAAACAAAAACAAAAAATTAAAATTGAAAATTGAAATGAATTAAAAATTTTTTTGATAATGAGGATTTTTATCATTCTGTGGCATACATGATGATATAATGAACGTTTATTTCTTGCATGAGCAAGATAAAGGAAGAAAAGTTGACGATATCAGTTTCTTTTCCGACTACAAAAAAAATAAATTGGATCGATCTTCACTCGTTGAACTACGCGAAACTATGTTGCCAAAATGAAATTGCAGTAAGCAAAAAAAGTTGTTTCGAATCGAGTAGCAATTTTAATTTTTAGTTTTTTTAGTTTCGTTGAAAGTTGTTGATGAAACAACAAAAAACATTATCTGCATTTTTTGATGATGGCAGACACCATTGATTTCAATTGGAACAAGTTTTGATAATGATGATCACCATCATCATTAAACATTACTCTATTTGATCTGATTGAAATAAGATGCTTATTCGCTTTACACCATCAAATAAACAACTTTGGCTAAACTTTCAACTTTCATCATGATAAAATATTGATCGAATAATGAAAGGAAAATTGTTGTTTTTTTTCCTATTTCCTTCCCCCTTCGATTATCCAAAAACAATTGTTTATGTAAATTTTCCATTGTTGTTGTTTTTTTTTTGATTAACAATGATGATGATGATGATGATAATGATAATAATGATTGGTCATTTTCGTTTTTTTTCTTGTTACAAGAAACGGATTTCCAAGTTTCAAAAAAAGGCCAAAAAAAATTATTGATAATGATGATTAAATGCATATTTTTCATTATGATTGTAAAATAATGATAATGAAATTTTTTAAATCGTTATAACGATGATAATAATAAAAATTTATAATCAACATTTCGACATTGAATTTGACTTATCTGATTTTTTCCATAGTTGTTGTCGTTGTTTGGATAATGTTAAATATATTTTATTATTATATTATGATGATTAACAAACGAGAAAAAAGTAAAGGGTGGCTCATTATAATTATACAAATGGTTTACAAGGCAATACATTTTGCTTGCGTTTTGGGTATCGATGTGAAAAACTAAGTAAAAAATGTCTCGAAAATTCATAATAATGACCATGATCATCATGATGATGATTAATGTAGTTGTTAATGATAAAAAGTTATATAATTTTAATAATTTTCCTTGGCAAATATCATTACAATATTATGATCGATTAACAAAACAATTATATCATATTTGTGATGGTGCTATTGTTAGCCATATTAATGTTATTGTACCGGCATATTGTGTTGATTTAACATTGTAAGTTTCAAGCAAAAGAGAGAGAGAAAAAAATTATCAAATTAATCGTTATTATTATTAATCAATCATTATTTAGATCAAAAAATAGATCAAAAATCAATATAGATGATTTTAAAATAAAAGTAATTGGCTTTTACAATCAATCCGATGTTATTGATCCAATATATTCAATATCGGAAATTAATTTAAATCCACGTTGGAATCCGGAAACATTCTGTTATAATGCTGCAACTATTTCAATTAAAAATGAAGAATTTAATTTTAATTGTCCGGATAATAACAATCGAAGACCATTGGTTCAAATGATTTATACTAATTTAACTGATAAAATTTCTATTGAATGTAAGATTAATTTCTTAGTTGATATTGAGTTGATTTGTTCATGCTGTTGTTGTTGTTTTAGCCTTATATAATCATCATGCAGAATTAGCAACATGGAATTGGCAGAATTACCAATATGAAGTACGTAATGTTCGTATTCTTTCCAATGATGATTGTCAACAATCTTTAAAATCGAATGAATATCGATCGTTTGACAATGAAACTGGTTAGTAATTTGGAATTTGGAAATTTGTTGTTTTTTTTTCAAAATTTCATATTTTTTTGAAATAGAAATATGCACCTATTCATGGTTGGATGTAAGCAGAGTTTTTTTGTGAATTATCCTGAATGAAAAGAATGAGATTTTTTTTTTGTTTTTGTTTTTCAGTCATGTTATTTTAGCAATGGAGCACTTTTACAATATTTTCATGATGATGGTAAAGCATATTTGTTAGGAATTGCATCATGGTAATTTATTCATTTGAATTTTACTAAATAATAATTTCTAATTGCTATTCGTTATATAGGATAACAACTGATTTGTCAAATAATATCAGTAAATATCAATGGTTATCAATTATAAATTTATTTTTTAATTTTTTGTTTTTGAAATTTTTTTTCTCCAGTAATTTTCACTAAAGTCACCTAAATTTTTTTCTTCCCTGGATTGACTTGTCGACTATCGATTATTATATTGACTATGGAAATGTGAATGGAATTTCCTTCTTTTATCTTGAATGATTTTTTTTGGTTGATTAAACGAAATACAAATAAAATATTTTGAAAAATAAATGGAATTTTTTATTTAAAAAAATTTTTACGATAAAATACTCTTATAATCGTTCTTATAATCAATAATCGATTGTATCGATAAGGATGGCCATCACTTGTCAAGCACATGCATGTTTACTCTATTCGATTTGTTGATTTGATCTGAGAATTTGATCGTTGTCATCGTATAATTTCTGGATATAATTTATATTTTTCATATTTATTTATTAATCTTTAATTAATTATGTTCGGAAGTTCAAATCCAAGTTTCAATTTTGGGCAACAACCGACTGTCACAAGTGCGCCCACTGCATTTGGTGCAACACCATCGTTTGCTTCACCACAAACTTCAACAGCATTTGGTGGAAGCATTTTTGGTGGTGGTCAAGCTACAAATGTCACTGGTACTCCTCAACAATCATCATTATTTGGACAACCAACTTCAACACCTGTCGCAACTGCAACTGGTCAACCACAACAAACTGCCGGTATTGGTTTTAATTTTTCCAGTCCAACTAATACATTCGGCAGCGGCTTTAATCAGCCACAACAGCAACAAACGTCGACAAGTCAATCTTCATCGGGATTCTCATTTGGTTCAACTACACAACCTACCGCATTCAATTTTACCAGTCCAACACAACAACAATTACAACCAAGTGCCGCTGCTCAACCAACATTGTCATCGATACTTTCACCGCAGGCAAATCAACCCTCATTGTTTGGCGGTCAAACAACGGTCAACACATCAAGTTCCGCACCATCATCATTTCTATCAGGTGGATTATTTGGTTCAAAAACAACTACTGCGCCTGCTACAGGTGGTTTTTCAAATTTTGGAACATCTTTTGGATCGAATCTTGGCACTGCAGTTACAAGTCAACCTCAACAATCATCAATTTTTGGACAACCAACAAGCACAAGTTCTTTAAATTTTGGATCAACTTTTGGAGTTCCGGCAACTTCTGCAGTTTCAGGTATTCTAGGCTCTAATCAATCGACAACCTCGATTGGTGGTGGTGGAGGTATTTTCGGAACCGCTGCATCAAATGCTGTTTCTACCACCTCAGCCCCGTTATCATTTGGTGGTACGACATCATTTTCATTACCATCAAACGCCGCTACTACCACTGCAGCCCCATTATCATTTGGCGGTCCAACATCATTTTCGTTACCATCAACGATTGCATCAACTGCCGCTTCTACTACCGCGGCTCCATTATCATTTGGTGGTACGACATCATTTTCGCTACCATCAACAGCTGCATCCACATCTGCTGCTTCTACCACATCTGCTCCATTATCATTTGGCGGAACAGCATCATTTTCGTTGCCATCAACAATTGCATCAACTGCCGCTTCTACTACCGCTGCTCCATTATCATTTGGCGGAACAACATCATTTTCGCTGCCATCAACAGCTCCATCCACAACTTCAACTGCTTTACCAACATCTGGATTCAATTTTAGCACCGCAACAACATCAGCGAATTCGGCTCCTGCTGTTTCGAAACCGATTCAATTTCCAGCTTTTGGAGTACAGGCTAGCACACAATCAACAACAACAGCAACAACCACATCTACACCATCATTTGGATCTTCAACATTGATCGCCACAACTACAGCGGCAACAACAACTAATACAACATCTACAGCGTCTACTGGAGGAAGTGTTCCCAGTTTCAATTTCGGATCATTGCAAACATCGAATGCACCTGCTACCACTAATAATGCGACAGCAAAAACATTATTTGGTTCAGCGGCCACAACTACAGCTTCAACCACAACAACCGCTACGACTATTTCATTCGGTTTGAATACAAGTACAACTGCGGCAACCACATCCGCTCCATCCGCAACTAAACAAAGTACCGGATTTGTTATTACACCTTTATCAACCAGTACAACAACATGTTCAGCTACTGTACCGGCTACAACAACAACAATAACTTCAACGCCAATCACTACTGCCGCAGTATCATCGGCAAATGTTCCAACAGCCACTGCATCTATCGCACCAAATACACGTAAGTTATTAATAACAATATTACAAAACAATATTGTTTCTAATTTTTGATCTTAATAACATTTATAGAATTAACATTCGGTCAACTTGAAGATCAGATTAATATATGGATGAATGAATTAACACAATTTGAATCGGATTTTCATGATCAAAGTCAAACAATAAATTCATGGGATTCATTATTGATTTCGAATGGTCAAAAATTAATTGATATGGATAAAATGATTGAAAAATTAAATGTTTCTCATCGTGGATTAGATCATCAATTAGATTTCATTATTGCTCAACAAAAAGAATTGGAACAATTATTGGAACAAGTTGAAGATAATAAATTGGATCTAGGCGCCAATAATGTGAATGCTGAACGTGAACATACATATTCGTTGATTGAAACGGTACACAATGATCTAAATGCTATTGGTACCGATTTAAAAGATTTTATAAAAAAATTGAATGAAACAAAATCAACTAATCATGATTCAAATGATCCAATGATACAGATTCTTAAAATACTTAATTCACATATGGATGTTTTACAATGGATGGAAAATCAAATCAAAAACATTAAAGTTAATTAAAATGATTGTTTTGTTTGTTTTTCAACAAAAAAAAACATTTGTCAATGATACTTTTTTATTGTAAAAAAAATCGAATTTAATAAACAAAATTCAAAAAAAAAGAGAAAGAATTGATTTAGAGAAAATAATAATTAAAAAAAAAATCAAGCTCGAACTTTTCCTTTTGCACCAAATTCATTTGATTCGAATAATTTTCTTACAAAAATTACCTGAACAATTGAACAGGCAATAATAATAATACATTGTAATAATGACCAATTCTGTACATAACGATTATTTGATTCAGCTAGATAACCATCATATGAATGTTGTTGTTTGGAATGTTCCAGATATTTCATCATTTCATTAATATTCCATTGTACATTACGTAATAATGCTGTAGCATTATTCGATGTAACATCAGCTTCAGATAATTCTTGTACATATTTTTCCCATTCATCACGTTTTAATGATGCTAGATAAAGACTGACTAATTTTGATTGAAAACTTGATGGTTTATTATCAATACATAGACTGTAATAACCTATTGATAAAATTATAATTTTAAATAATATAAAATTTCGAATAATAATAATTACCAGATTGTGGAACAGTACTATCATCAATTTCGGCATGTTGTTTCCATTGATATGGCATAATTGTTTCACCTTTCGGTCCATTTACATAGAAACCAGCCATATTATCACCACCTCTCATTACCTGTTATTGTTTGTTTTGTTTTTCAACGAAAACAAAAAAAATATGATGAATCAATACAAGTGTAGACAAAAATTAATTATAATTACCTGGAAAGCAATGTACAATGATGATCCTTGTTCAATATATTGATAGAAACAATCTTCTTTACCGGCATCAATGTGTATTTTGAATTCAAATGCAGTGCCCAGATTTTCTGCATTTAATTCGGAATTATAATTTTCAGCTTTGATTAATGATGAATGATTAATTACGATGATGATAATGATGATGGATAAAATATGATGGAATAACTTGATGATCATACAATGATTTGGCAACATTATGTGTATTGAATCAGTGGACAATTTTGTCTATAAAGAATTTTTTTTATTTAGATTCGATTCAAGATATAAAACACACTGATTTGGCAATAGAGATCAGATAGAAAAAGACAAAATGGCGTACATTTTGTTTTTGGACAAATCGTTATTTGATAATGGAAAAAAATTGAATCAATTTTCTTGATTCTTTGAAAAAATTTGTCATTTAGTTTTTGATTTAATATTCTTGATCACAATTAATTCCGAATTACATGGATGTTTTTTTTTCTATTTCATTCGTTGATGGAATTTTGGAAAATAATCGGATTAAATTGTTTTCATAATTTATTTTTTTTAAAATTTGGATTAAAAATGGGAAAAACCAAAAAAAAGAAGAAAAGATTATCGAAGACACGTCAACCGATCTCTAAAATCGGTAACAGTATTTGTGACCGGACAAAACATGTGTGATGTTTTGCCGATTTTGGCTCACGGTTTATTTTTTTTGAAAATTTGATTTGAATTTTCAACAAAAAATTTATAAAAATGGATTTTCAACATCGACCAGGTGCTAAAACAGGAGGTGGTGGTGTTGCATCATGGGCCGAAACAAATCGTGATCGTCGTGAACGTCTTCGACAATTGGCTCTTGAAACAATCGATTTGGCTAAAGATCCATATTTTATGAAAAATCATCTTGGTTCATATGAATGCAAACTTTGTCTTACATTACATAACAATGAAGGTTCATATCTGGCCCATACACAGGGTAAAAAACATCAATCAAATCTGGCAAGACGTGCGGCTAAAGATGCAAAAGATGCACCTCAACCGATGTTTTCTAAATCTCGAATTGACATTCGAAAATTTGTCAAAATTGGTCGTCCAGGTTATCGTGTGACCAAACAATTTGATCCAGAAAATCAACAACAATCGCTTTTGTTTCAGGTAAAAAAAAGGAATTTAAATGATTAAATTTTTTTATTGAAATTTTCCATTCGATTTAGATTGATTATCCTGAAATTTCTGAAAATATAACACCAAGACATCGATTTATGTCGGCATATGAACAGAAAATCGAACCACCAGATCGTCATTGGCAATATTTATTATTTGCTGCTGAACCATATGAAACAATTGGTTTTAAAATACCATCAAGAGAAGTGGATAAAGCTGAAGGAAAATTTTGGACATTATGGAATCGTGAATCGAAACAATTTTTTCTACAATTTGCATTTAGAGTTGAATTAAAAGGTTCGGCCTTGATGCATCAACATAATTTATTACCATCATCATCATCATCAACATCAACATCGATAACAACAATGAAATCAACGATGGCAGGTAATCAATCTTCGACAAGTAACACTATAGAATCACCATCAACAACAACAATATCAGCATCATCATCATTAGCAGCAGGAGAAATTTTAAAGAATAATAATAATAATAATCAAAGTGGAGATTAATTTTAATTAGCAATGCATATTTTCAATTATGTAATCGGCTTTTTTCAAACAATTTTTTTTTGTTTTTGGAAAATTGTTCAATTTCAATGTCAAAAATTCGTTTGTAAAATAAAAAAAAAGAATTCCGAAATTTGATTTTTTCAACATTTGAAATTTTCTATTTGACTAAACAGTCAGTGATGTCATTATATTTATATTTTAGAAAAAAACCAGAGAAGATAATCACAATGGACAACAGAAAAAAAACGGAATATATTAAAATTGCTTTCGCTTAAATCATGTGTTGATTTATGAACATAATGATGATTGTTTTTCACAAAAACAATATTATTATGCCATTTCTATTTATAAATGAATGAATGAATGAATAATTCAAGAAATAACAACAACGAAAAAAAAACTATTTGATTTGAATTAATTAAAGGTAATTAGCAAAAAGAATCATTATCAACTCTTTAGTGTGAACTCATGTCCCTTCTCTTCATCATCATAATTATCATCCTTAAGCCAAAAAGAAAAAAAATAAAAATTCATCGCACAAATCGATTTATTATTGCCTGTCAATTTGGAAATACTGATCATCAATAATAATCATCATTATTATAGGTGACGCTTGTTTGTTTATCATTTTGTGTGTTTCCAATTAGCGACCAAAACGAACAAACGAACGATTAAAAATCAAAGTATAGAAAGAAAAATATGGATGCTCAAAATTCATTGATATTCATATATAGTGATTTCAAATGTCTGAAATTTTTTTTATCCATCTATCTATCTTATCATTGAAAACAACCAAAATAAAAAAATAAAATATTCAAATCTGTAACTGCAATTGGGAATTACCCATATCCATTGAATTGACAAGTGAAAAACATATTTATCAATCCAATGACAAATTCCGTCAATGATTTTAACATTATTTGTAGTTTTTTTCCCGGAAATTCAGCGAATATCGATAGTAAATAATCGATAGTGAGCATTCGATATCTATCTTGTTTCGAATCTTGCAAGATTAATCAATAGTTTTTCTTCATTCGAATTCAACAAAAATAGATTTTTTTTTTATAAAAATAATGAAAATTTTATTCAATCATCAAGTAAAAAAACAAACAAATCGATTGTTGATGTTATTTTTTTCACACTTTTATATTACAAATTTGTTGTTATTGTTTTGGCGCCGGGGTATTTATTTATTTATATTTTGTTGATAATGATAATGATAGTGTAGAATGGTTGATTATAATGATCATCATAATCATAATCATCATTATAATTGAATGTTTGTATTGACCAACCCAAACATTTGATTTTCCAATTATCGTCACTTGTTGTTGTTGTTGTTGATGATGTTTTTGTTGTTGTTGTTGTTATTAATGTTGTCGATGTTGTTGTTGATCATTATAAAATGATGATGATTATATAATGATGATAAAATCTTTCTTTTTTTGTTGGAATTTTAATTTATATTTTTGTTTATGTTTCATGTGTTATTCAGCCATATCAATGCGATAATGTAAATTGGATTTTTTTCATCTTCTTCTTTTCGTATCTTCTTTTGGATATTTGAACATTCAAAGAATTTAATAATTTTTGCTTCCTGTTTTTTTAAAATTTAATTTAATTTTAAAAAAATCAAAATTGATGGCTTGAAGCTAGATTTTGAATATTTTTTTGAAGGTCATCATCATCAGAAAAAAACCACAGAAAAAAATCGGGTCAACGATAGGTTCAAATTTATCATTAATTGGGAAAAACCCGAAAAAAACAGAGTAAAGCAAACAAAATATTATGATTCTTTTTTTTCAAATGAAAATTTCCCGCTTGAAGATTAAAGGGAATCCATTATTTTCGATTCAATCGATTCCATTGATGATTGAATTAGTTTGAAGCAAAATAAAAGAAAATTGAGAATACAAAATACGAGAAGAATAAGAAAAAAAATTGATGAAATTGGTGATGATTTGAGCTCGATTACAGTTGAATAAGAAAAAAAATTATTCAACCAAACAAAAAAAAAATTGATTAATTTCAAAAAAAAAAAAGATGAATTGAATCAAAGATGATGATTGATGAATGTGACAAGATGTTTATGATGAATGTATGTATGTGTGTTTGTGTGAATTTGTTGTAAATAATATGTGTGTAATACAATCAAAACATGTGTTGTAAATAATAATTTAAATAAACAACCAAACATCAATGTTAATTAAATTAAATAATTAATTAATTAATAAATGATAAATAAGATGAAAAGTAAACAGAAATAAAAAAATAAAATCATTATCCAATATAATTAACATTGATGATGATTGATAATTGATTTCGTTTCATGTTGTTGGCTGTATAGAATTATTATTATTATTTGTCATAATTAATTTAGCTAATAATGTTGTACGTTGTTTTAACAGCATTATTGTTGGTGTTGTTGTCATTTGTGCTGATGATGTAACTGGTTCAAAACGATGTTGTTGTTGTTGTTGTTGTTGTTGATAATGATTAAAATGATGCGATGATGATGATCGATTATATCCATGACCATTTTGATTATGATCATTTTTAATTAATGATGATGATAATGATGATGATGGCGATGATTTTTGATTGATCGGTGCACACATACATTCAGTATGATTTTTCATTGTAATTATTTCGATACCTTTTTTATGTTGACCACGTGATGTTATTTCAATTGTCCAAAAATATAATTTTACTTCTTCAATTGTTTTTGGTATACAATGTTCAGTTTCTAAACGACAACAACCAGAATTTTCACCACAATAATGTAATATTGTACAATGTGGTATATATTTTTTTGTTGCACTTGGATTTATTTGTAATTCATTTTGTATATTAATAATTTTTGCATGTGGATATTGACATTTTGCATATTTTAATATACGATTATAATGTTCAGATGCCATTAATGATTCATTTGTATTTGGTTGATTTATAATTAAACGTTTATAATGATTATTATTATTATTATTACTATCATCATTATAATTATAAATTTGATCACAGTTAATTGTTGATGTTAATTTAAATGAATCATTTATTGATATTATTTGAAATAGATTACCAATAATAATAATCAACATTATTGTAATCGATAATATTGTTTGATTGATAATTGATGAAATACCAATTTCAGTAATCATTGTGATCATTGTTGTTGTTGTTGTTTTCGTTGTTGTTGTTTTATTGGTTTTTTTAATTTTTTTGGATAAAATCATCATTGTCGACATCATCATCATCATTATCATTATCATTGATTTTGAATGTTTCATTTGCAAGAAGAAAAAGAAATTGAAATCATCAAAAATATGAACGCTTCTTATTTTGTTGTTGTTGTTTGTTTGCTTGGTTAATTCAGGATTAATACCTGATTATTGATTATAGTGTCACAAACCACACACAAACAGAGAGAAAAACACCTTTCTTTGATTTATTGACAATGATGATTGATGATCAAGAAAATAATTGATTGATTTTATGTTTTTCTTCGTTTTATATACGTGTTTATGATGATGATGTTGGTGGTAATTTCATCATCATCATCATATCAAACAAAACATAATGATGATGTTAATATTCACTAAAAAAAACGTAAAATCAATCAATCAATCAATCGAAAATCGATGTATAGAAAATTGGAATTGTACAAAAAAAATCGATGATTTTATTTCTTCAATCAAAAAAAATTCTTTACATTCATTGTTTTTTCAATGGGAAAAAAATACAATGAATCGATTGCAAAACACACAAAAAGACAAGAAAAAAACCACCGTCAATCAAAAAACACAAAGGATTTTCTTTCAAAAAAAAAGAATCGTTTTTTGGTTGAAAAATCCAAAATATTTTTATTTGAAAATTTCAAAAAAGATTTTTTTTTCGCTGCAAAGTTACGATGATATAATTGAATGAATGAATGAACAAAAAACTATGAACACTGAATTGTGAATCTCTCTTTCTCTCTCTCATCACCACATATCCATTTCAATATTTAAAAGATGTTTTTTTTTCATTTCAATCAAAAATCAAATGGAAAAAAAGGGATAATCATTATCCGAATATCGTCGTTGTAGTGGTAGTGGTCAACAATCAAGATAAATGACTGGACTGAAGTTGTTTTTTTCAAAAAAAATTCTTTATTTTTTTCATAATTGTAAAATCTTTATGTATTTTTCTTTCATCATGTGTAATTTTCAATTGGAATGACGACAAACAATTTTTTTAAGTACGATGATCATCGTGATTAGCATCGTAATAATAATAATAATAACCCAAACACCACAATGGGAAACCATTGAATACTGATGATGATGATGATGATGATGAGAATTGAATTGAATCTGTACAGTATTCAATCATAAATGTTTATGATTGAAAAAATCAAAACAACAACAACAACAACAAATCAAAACAAAACAAACGACAATCATGACAACAGGAGAAGAAAAAAAAATCAATAAAAAACCAATGATGATTATGATTTTGGAAATTTCTTTCTTTTCTTTTTTTCTTATTTCCCAGAATTATCTTCTCCAGTTCAATTGAAATTTATCATGTTTCAAATATCACAAACACAAAAATTGTTTCAATTGTATAATTCACAAAAATTTAAATGAGGTTCACTGAATAGATTGACTGAATTTTTGGTTCTGGTTCGATTTCATTCAAATAAATGATTGATCGATCGATTGTTTGACGGTGGTGGTAAAGGTTTGAAAATTTCAATCAAAGAAAAGGAAGAGAAGATGTTTTTTTCTCTCTCTCATCAAAAGAATAATTTTTTCACAGCGAATATTAATGATAAAGATGATCGGATGATCTGAGTGGATTTAAAGAAAAACAAATTTCTCTTTTTTTTTGTTTTTGTTTTTGGTTTGTTGCGTGTTGAAAATGCAAATCCAAAGAGTCATGTCCTTTTTATCTGGTCAGATTTTCTGTTTTTCTGATCGCTGATAAGAAATGCCGCTTGTTTTTGTTTTTCTCAACAACGAACAACCAAACTAACGAAATTACGAACGAAAAAAAAACCGCTTGCAATTTCTCAATTCAAATCAATGATGGTCAAGATCATCATCATTGAATGTCTATGATGATTGAAACACTGTTGAATGAAATGAAATGCAAACCTGATTTTTCCCCAAAAAACAAATCATCATTGAAATACGATCACAGAAAAAAAAGAAAAACGAAAAAAATTTTGATATTGGTAATCAGAATTTCAAGTCTTTCCAATGTATGTTTCCAATCATACCTGCTTACCGCACACACACACACGCACACACTTTAAGATTTAAACCATTTCAGTCTTTTTTTTCACCTTCTGGTTTAATCTTGTTTTTCTTTTCTTTGAAAAAAAAACTTTAAAATTACCTTTAGGAAACGATGACGTTCTTTTTTGTTTCACTGATTTTATGTTGTTGTTGTTGTTGTTGTTGTACTGAATTTGATGATGATAATGATGATCATAGTCGAAAAAACAAAATTAAAAATTCAGAATTGAATTTTTGGATGACGGTGTGTGTTTTGAGAATAATTAAATTAAAATGGTGATGATGGTACGAATGAACAAAGATGAATGATTTTATGATGGTTTTCTATCCCCTTCCCCCCAATCGAACTTAAGATGAAAATTCACAGATTTTCTGAGTTTTGTCGTTGATGAAAGAAAACCGCATTTTTCTAGTTAATTAATTATTGTGATGGCGTGTGTGTGTGTTATATCGGGATGATATTGATCACCAACAACAATGATCGATCGATCGATCGAAAATTCACCCAATTTTCTTTGATCCTGGAATAATGAAAAATGAAAGTGAAAATTTATAATTTAAAAAAAAAGATAATTAGTCGATTTGGTTCGAGACAACAACAAAAAAAAACATAAAAAACATTTTGTCAATTGCTTCAAGCTATTTTAAAAAATATTTTTTGTTTTTTTTTTTGAGTAAAAAATTTTTCTCAATGTTCAAGGTTAATGATGATGATGTTTTCTAAACGTTTTTTTTTCTTCTTTGGCTTCTCTGAACCTGCCGTATGGTCGTATCACATGAGATCATTTTATTATTTCAATTTTGGGTTGGTTTGGTTGGTTTGGTTGGTTTTTTCTTGTTTCTCATAGATTATTCTAGAATCATAAAGATAAAATAAGAGCATTTGATTACCAGAGAGAAAGTAAAAAGACATTTAATTATAATTGATTTGTACGAAATGAATTTCTAAACGAATGCTTTTCATCTTTATCATGAAAGAAAACAAAACAAAACAATTACGAATGAAGATGATGATAATCAATGATGAGAATTTGAATTGAAAAATTCAATATTTTTTGGTAAACAAAAATCTGATGACATAATGATTGTGGATGAATCAATGAATCAATGAGAAAAAAATCAAACAAACAAACAAACAAGACAATTTCCTATGACAATAATGGTGGAAACAAGGAAAAAAAAGCGATGAAGAATTTTGTTGTTGTTGTTGTTGTTGTTATCATCATTCATAATCATCGATTCGATCGTTTTGGATAAAGGTATTTTTTTTATTATCAAAAAAAATTAATTAACAACAACAACAACAACGTACAAACAACCGAATTGAAAGGATTTCTCGTATCAGCAAACAAACATGTAACGGGATAATTTGATTATCGGTTATTTACGTTTGGATTCAATTCTATCATCGTAATAATTAACCCCTTTAAATTATGGGTTTTGGTTTGGTGAGAATTTTTAATCAACAAAATTTATTTATTTAATTTTCTAAAATTAACCATTTTACACCCCCCCTTCACACACTTTCAAACATAATTTCTATTTATAGCATGATAATGAAACCTTGAAACCTAAATAAACAACAACAAATTCGTTAAATTCTTTTTAAAAAAAATTAGGAGAAAAAAATATCAACAAAACAAAATTCGTGTAAAGATGTAATTAAAAACAAAACAACAAATTGATTGAACAAATTTAGAATCGATCATTGAGATTTACATTTGTTTGTTTTGTTTTGTTTTGACAGTCAAAACAAAAAGAAAACAAACTATAAATAGAAAATCGATTGAATGAAATGAAGTGAACTTAATTGTCATTTCTTATACATTTCTCATTATCATCATCATAATAATCAGTTTTTCAATCAAATGAAATGAAAATCATTGACCCGATTTGATTGATATGTTCCAAACACCTACTGGAAATATTGAAATCAAATGCACAGAAAAACAACAACAACATTTTTTACAAAACAACAAAATTAAATGATAATTATCAATTGATTTGATAAACAACAAC